CAATCTGGGCATCTTTCACAGGGCCGACCTTTTCGAAGAATTCAGCCAGCTCCTTGGATCGGAGACGGGCAGCAAGTTGCTGCACAAAGATAGTGCGCTTGTCGCGTTCATCCTCGTTGAGCACAGGGGACTTGCTGTTGCCCCGGCGGCTGGGAGTTCCACGGCGGTCCTGGCGGGGGCGTCGCTCGTCATCGCGCTCGCGACGGTTAGGACGATAGTGGCGATCATCGAAAGGAGAACGAGAGCGAGCACGGCCTCCACCTCGGTAGAAATCTCCGCTAGAACGGTAATCATCACCACGGCGGCGAGGGCGGCGGCGATCACTTTCGCGGCTGCGGCTGCGGCGTCGGCTTCTCTGGCTTCCGTTAGCACTGCCAAGCTCGCTGCGTGGGCTCTTCATGTCTTCATCGCCATCGATATCGCGGTCAGGACGACGGCGTCTCTCGCGGGAACGGGTACGCTGGTCATCGGGGTCTGCACGGGGGGAGCGGTTATCACGGTCATCAGACCTGGTGGGGGTCTCGGCGGGGGCTGCATCAGTGGCCTCCAGGAGAGCCTCGACGTTGAGTCCCGACATGATGAGTGGCGTTGCGACTCGGGGGAGGGATGTTACTTGGCTGCGGTCAGACAGCGAAAGATGAAGCAAAATTGGCGGTCAAACCCTTCCTGGGCAGGAGATCGGTCTCTAGGCAAGGCACAGGTTGAAGTGGCTGTGGGTTAGATTGTGGATATCATATAATTATCGGGGAAAAGTGATGGGGGAAGAGGAGGGCGGTGAAGGCGATGCATCACGTGAAATACTGAGTTTTACGTGGCGACAGGCGCTTGCCCCGGATTCTGCCAGGGTTTTACCAACCGTTTTAGCAGCTGTGCTCTGGTGAATCGTTGTGAGATTCAGTGGATGTGGAAGATTTACAATTTCAGAATGCTCATTCACAAGTGACTAACCGGGACATTATTAATTGCATTATGATTAATGTGCATATAGACTGATAAAAATACTTGAAGATATAGGGCTCGTCATCCAGCATTGTACAATGACCGGAATCGGATGACGAATTCCACTGTACAAGAAGTAGACCCTCCAGGGCCGAAGAAAAACCACAAACTCCGTAGGTGCCAATGAATAGTAGAGAGTCGGATCACAGAGACTGTCGTACTCGACGTAAAATCGTGACCCGAGGGCCGAAGCCCATTAAATATGGTTGGTTCAGAGAACGCTCACTGAGCCTTTGTTCCCTTGGGAGGGGAGTCTCCAGCTCAGTGCCAAAGACACGATCCCAGAACCGACTTGTCACCCCAAAGCCATTCTCAAAGTCGGCAAAGTGGTGCTGGAGATGGTACTTCTTGAGTTCCTTATAGTGCAGAGGGAGGCTGGAGTCACGTTAGCATTGTACCTCTGCGGAGAAGTGGAGTGTCAACTTACTTGCGGTGGTGTAGGAAATAATGGGTCAAGTCATAGCAGATATATCCGAAGACTCCGCCGCAGAATACTGTCACGGCCGCGAACCAGTTGTAGAAGAAGACTGTGTGGGCTAGCTTCCAGAAGGGGACAGCCAGGATCACGAATAGCGTCGGCGGCATGACAAGGCGGTATTTGTCCATGGGGAGGTAGTGGTGGATACCGTGGAGCAGGAAGTGAAGGGTCAGACCGACACGGTTGTCGGGAAGCCAGTGGTCAACGTGGAAGAGGAATCGGTGCATCAGATACTCGATCAGAGTCCACAGGCAAACACCGCTAATCCAGTAGGAGGCAGTGACAGAAATGTTTCCAAGTCCTGATAATCCGACCGTGGTTCCGTAGATAACCGGAGGCAGCCAAATGGACGGAACAATATACCACGAAGTCTTGCTGAGAGGCTCAAGGAAGTTGCCGAACAGAGGAGCAGACTCTCCGCCCCGGTAGTGACGGGGCCGGTGAATCTGCTCCAGATAAAACTCCTTGGAGAAGTTGCTGTTCCATAGCTGCATGAGGAGCGGCTTGTTCAGGTCCAGGAACTTGTGGGTCTTGAAATCCTGGGTGTAGTCCGTGTCGATCGAGAGATCTTCCGCGCGGGACATTCCGGTGCTGGCGTAGATGGGAGCTGACCCTGTTTCGGTCTCAATGGCAGTAGTGGACGATTTTCCGGGCGTCGAGCCATTGGAGACGAAGCCAATGTGGTAGTCGTCCAAGATTTCATAGGCAGCATCGGTATGTTCGTGGGAGATTTCGTCCTTGAGGATGTCTGTAACATCCTTGCCTCCATACTCCAGAATCAGATCACCGCCACCGGGGTGGGCTTCCAGGAAATCGGTGACATCGTAAACATTGCGCCCCAAGGTCACGAAGCAGGACTTGGCGGTGTTATGGGATTCAACCTCGGCGGAGGTGAATGTCGGCAAGACCCTTCCAGGCATGATAAGGGAAAACGGAATAGAGACGTATGCGTAGTTCGAGAAGGAAACGAGGGATAGAACTGGAGATAAATTATTCAGGGGAGTGGCGTGACGAGAAAAAACGATCGGGGGATCCGCCCGCTCCGAAATCTCTGATATTTCAACCACGCAGATCAGGCCACAACCAGTGTTTATTGATCTTTTGAGTAACATACACAGTAATCACAATAAATCAGGCCATTGTAATTTGATCTATGTAGATTCTGCTGATAGCCTGTATGCTGACCTAAGCGGAGACTCCCTCGATGACTAACCCCGTATACACCACACGCCATATTGAGTTAGAACTGCGCTTCAACTGGCTTTGGCTTTGGCTTTCTCTTCCTACCGGGTCGATCAGGCTGACAGACCCATCAGGCCCCATGAGTGGGACAGAGGGATCCCGATCCTGATCCAGCGCCTTTCTATGCTCTCGGCGCACTCCACTGCTTTAGCGCATCCTGCGCGGGAATTGGGGCCGGGAAGTTTCCATCTGTTTAGTGATTTATCTCTCGATTCCAAATTGAGGCAGGGGTTAGACATCAGTGGAGTTTCCCCCCCCTCTTGTTGTCATTTTTCCCTTTTTCCCTTTCTTCTCTCTTCCCCCCTTCCACCTCTACACCATGTCGACTGCGGGGGATTGGATCCCCGAGAATCCAATTCTGGCCTATTTGCAAACATTAATCGCAACCAAGAAGAATCTTCCCCATGGGCAACCAGTGGCCGCCTATGTCTCCCATAGCCACACTGACTCGGCCTCACTTCTGCGGCTGGCCGCAGAACTGGGTCCCCACATCGCCATCTTACAAGTGCCAGCCGAGGTCATTGACGACTGGAGTAGCGATACCATTGATGAATTGCAGTATCTCGCGCGAAAACATGGATTTCTGCTGTGGGAAGGTAGCAAGATCCTAAACTCACTGGTTGGTTTTATGGGTCGGGGCGATGCGCCGCTGGAAACGCGCCAAGCTCTTTCTGAATTGATCAAAAAGTCATACGCCTGCGGTCCGATAAGAACGGCGACTTGGGCCAACGTGGCCACTTCTTGGGCTCCCGCTGTGGCTGTCAACCAACAAGAAAAGGATGCCTTAATCCCGACATTGCGGACTGCGGCCCGCGAGGCGGTTGCGACAACCGCAAAGACCATTCAAACGGAAATTTCCGTTGAAAGGAATCATGAGTTGTCCGAGGACGAAATGGAAGTGTCTCACTCATTTGAGTCAACAAGCACTGGCTGGAAAGAGTTTAGCCCCGACAATATGGGTGGCGCGCTACGCAAATCGTCAACCATCTCAGTCACAGAATACAAAACACCTCATCCCGACATCCAACCAGATGACGGCATTCCAACCCCGCCCACACTGGCCCGCAGTATATCGCTCTGTTTGCCAAGTTCCATTAACACCGGTTTCAAACCAGAGTTCCGCCAGAGTTCGATCATCGCCGCATTGGCCAACTCTGACTTCGTTCTGGGTTTCGCCACCAGCGAGCCCTTTTTCATCAATCACCGAGGCAATGATATATTTGAATTGGCCTTAATGGACGGCTGCGGCGTAGCCCAAGAAGGCATGGACTGTTCTTTACTCGCCAACTCGCCTTACGTCGATAAGCAAGGCTCAATGGCTATATTTTCGCTCATCCCACCGCCGCTCGGCAACGGCTTTGAATACGATCCCAACTTCAAGCCCAACGGACGAACTGTGTCAGATACTGAAATTCCAGCTTCGGCGCAATATCTACACCATATTGTCGGCCAAGCAGTTGCCTTCCGGGAGCAGAGTCGACAAGAGCATGAACCCAATGGATCGAGAAGTGAACGAGTCGGTCCCAATCTCCTGCATTTCCCAGCGGTTATCATTGCATAATTACAAATACTAGCGCCGGCTGTTCTGCATGCTCTCTGATGTTTTGTCAACGAACGTTAACGACCATTTTGACGATCTTGGATTTCGTTTGCATTCTAGATGCCAATGTTGTCTTGCTCTTTGGCATCGATGCTGTTAGGATATTTGTCCATCGCCAATACCTGAAAAAAGAAGAAAAAAAGTCTTGTATATGCAAATGAATTGGGAGCACATATTTCACTTGAACTTCCTATATTAAACACTCCTGGTAATCGCCTGTTGGCCCACTATAAGTACATGACTCTGTGACCCTTTTAATCAGGCATACGTATTCCTAATATGGAATGTTATTCACGTGCCCATGATTAGTCACCACCCTGGAATTCGGGCATATCAACAGAGGGCACTTTTTACTCTACCAATATCATCCTTCTTTTCTAAACACATTATACATGTTCATTCCCATCCACATCTGCATATACTCGGCTGCATGAATTGATTTGTGTTCGGTTGATTAATACCTCACCTCGTTGCAAATCACACACATAAGTCAGCCATATCTTAGACATGAACATCTGAGAGTCTAACATGCGATCATGAGAGGAACCAATTCAGCGTTCTGGACAAAGCATTTCTCGGATTTCTGTAACTCTCAATGCTTTCTTTTCGCTGCCACAAATCATACATCACAACAACGTAAACTCAGAGAGTCCCAAAAGCTGACATTGGGGCCCAACAATCATGAGCCACGATGAAAACGAACTGGGCAGTCACAATGGCCCAAATACAGACGGCATAGACCCTTCCATCAAAGTGATCTCTGTTCAGGGTGACCTGATCATCGAGTACATTGCTCCTGGTGACTCCACGTCAACAAACCGGAGATGGCAGGTGGCAAGCGAGCTTCTCAGCTCCAATAGTCCATATTTTCATGCCCTGCTGGATCCTACGAAATTCTTCGAAGGAAGACAATTCAATGCTCAAAAGCAAGCATGGTACGAAACCCAAGGATCAAACTCTGCCTCACAGCAGATGTTACCCACAGTGAGACTCCCCGGGGGCATGTTGACTAGCATATGCGGGGAAGACGCTATCGAGCTTTTCTTGCAAATATTATGTGTGAACTGTCTAAACGAGGAAGACACTGCGTCGTTTGAACATGAGTTGAAGTCCCTGTCTACATCACTTGTTGCGAGGTTGATTGATCTTGCCGACTCATTCAATTCTCCACGTATTGTCCAAGATATACTGCGACAAGTTGGATACTCATATGGCAAGACGAAACCTTCACTCATTGCCAAGCTTAGCGTTTCTTCGTTACAGATGAAGGAAGATCGGATTCGGCAGATCATTTTGATATCTGCCTTCCTCAATGACTTAAGTGTGACCAAAATCATGAGCCACGCTTTGTTGGTCATTGGATCCAGATTCTGGATCAATGGACTAGAGTATCCGGACGAAGAAACTTTACGCTGGCGTTATCTACCAAACGGTCTAGAAGGTATGTTTTATTCCCAGACTTCCAAAACACTATTCGAATACTAAATCCGGTGACCAACAGAGGAAATCTACTATAGACGCCAATGCGTTTTGAACACCATAACCGACCTCCAAGCCTATTTCCTACGAGTCTATGGAGGTCTCGAAGATTCTGACGGCGCAAAAGCAGCACCCAACACGAGAACACCAGGCGCAGCATTCACAACATCCGCACCGCTAACCGTCCACCTGCGTCAATTCCAATGCCGAGGCGGATTAAATAACGCCAGTCAATGCGATCTCTTTCAATTGGGCCAAATGACCCGATTCTTCTCACTGCGCGCCAAGACCATCTTCCTAGGCTCGACCCTGATAGACCCCGACTTCAGCGCAACCCCCAACGAAGATGGTCATGTCGTTGATCAAGAGAGAAATGGCCACTCCTCGAGTAAGCCTCCTGCAAGTCCACCGTCTGATATAACCGCCATCATCGCCTCTCTCAAACAATACCCCGATTACCCCATCGATGAAGCACATTCTGGCTGCGGTGTCCGGCGCCGAATCATGGCTCCGTTGGAATGCATTGAGAAATTCGTCTGGGATGATCGCGGTCTGCTCGGTATTATGTTACCAGTCTTGGATCCTCTTGTGTCAGATATCTCACATCCAGCGAGGTGGATACCATGGGCTGATCTGGTGAACAAGAAGCAAACAGTCGAGATTTCCTTCGCGAGGGTTACTGCAGTGCATTACCCATCAATTCCACAGAAGAATCAACTGAACCGCTCTACGCCGCAAGAAGAGGTGGGCCGGTTATTGTTCACAGCAGCTAAGCGAGATTGGACTGCGAGTTCGGGGTGAATATTCATAAGCTATGCTTGGATCAAACCTTGGATGTAGATATAGTAGATATATACCAACTATACTTTCACTGTTAGTAAACAAAGCAAAGTAAAAAAAGCACAGGTCCAGTTGCTACATACGGAGATCCCTGTAACCCTAACAACATGCATCCTCCTGTATACATCACGATGAGCAATGGACCACGGACTTATCTCTCTCCCTTTTAAGTGCGTGGGAACGCGACAGAATGACGACATTGAGAAGATATCAGATGGGTTGAGACCGGTCTGGGCCTGTTCTGCCCAGGGTTTGGTCTCATCGGCAACTGGGTATATCCATATGCCATATTATGCTGGTTCTGAGAGAAGCTTAGCTCTTAGGGTCTTGGGATCTGGTTGCATTTCGGTGAGGGATACGGGGGTTAATTTTGTGTACAGTGGAGGTTAAAATAATCTCTCTTGTTGAAGACATCGCTATCTTGTATGACAAACTCGAAGTTCGAATACGAAAGAAAACTTTCGGAGTAGATATCACCTTGGACAAAGTCAGTATCAATTGAAGATCACGTTAGTGTAGTTCAAGATAGACCTAGGGGCAAGTGAAATCCAGAGAAGCAATAATAACTTTTCTCTATAACTTTGGGGTCTATATAAAACCAGTTGCAACGAGTTCTATCTTTCTCGAGCATGCGAATGAAGCGATAGGAGGAACAAAATCCAGATCCAAATAACCTCAAAGATGCTCCAATTTGGTTCTGCCTCCATCTTGCTGTTCTTTTTTTGCTTTTCTTTGTCTTGTTCTTTTTTGATCTTATTATTATCCGACCTTAACAGACCGGATCACCCCAGAAATACCCCATGTCAAGGTCCAGATTCCCAGACGGGAAAAATGAACCCGTAATCTGACCTGTAGTAGGGTCATAGGGGAAGTACTCATCGTAAGGACTGCGATCCGTGATATCCATCTCTTGCTTGATGAATTGATCCAGGAAATCTGGCGCTTCGAGACCGTATGGCTCCTGCACTCCAATCGAACTATCTGATTGATCTATGGGCGAGCAGGTGATAGGATCCAGCTCTGTGGCAATGGCATCAACAGCTGCAGTCGTAGGCAAATTGGCACATGGATCCAACGGATTCAATGATAAATCACCAATTGGGTCTTCTGCCATTCCCATAGGGTCTGCGGTGTCAGGGAAGAGAGTGTCTGCAGCGCACTCCTCATGGCTGGGTAAATCGTTGACACTGATTCCAATGTGTGGCGCTAGGCGGCGAAGGAATCCATCACAAAGCCTCCAGGCTCTTTCAGAAGCAAGGCTCGTCTTGGATAGACTGGACAACCAGTCCAGAGCTTTTTTCGCGGCTTTGGAGACCATGGTTGCGTTTTCGGGGACGTGTTGGGCGTGAAATGCCAATTCCAGGAGGAGCACTGTAACTGCCTGCATCAGGTAGTGGAGGGTACACCACCACGGCGACATGCGGTATAGCATGGCTGCATCTGGTGAATCTGGGAACAGCGTGAGCATGTGGCACGCGGCCTCGACACACTCTGCGGCAGTTTTGTTGCAGAACTCGTATGTCTTGTCGTCCTCTGATTCCGCTTGTCTCAGGCGACACAGACATGGTCGGGTGATGCCGATTTTGGTGCTGTAGAATAGGAATGCTAGACCCATACGCTGGTTGATGGGGCATTGTGATGTCTGTGTTGAAGTGAAATCGTAGGCTGGGGGAGGTTCATGAACCATGAATCGATCTCGAGCATTAGGCTTTGGATGGTGAACTCGGTGCTTGCCCATGGTGATTGCAGTGCTTCTGGGCTGTAGAGTTTGACTGTCATCCGCTTGGATATGCTGGTCAATGAAGACAGCTGCAGGAAGTAGAATGAAATGCATGGTGGCAGGCTCTTGAGATACTCTGCTCTATTCATCTTTATATCGCTTTCTGCAGGCGCATCATTTGATTCGGATTCCGCTGTTGACTCTCGGTCCTCGCCGCTATTGCTGGCTGGCATTTGGTCGTAGTACATTGAGGAACTTCGTCTGATTAGTCGGGCGACTTCTCCTTTCTGGAAATCACTTTCGTCGTAAGGTACCGGCATGGGTGTAGTGCAAGAACTATCAATGACACACGAGGGACGGCCAGTCATGACAGTCAGGAGATGTTCAAGGGTATAGAGCGACCACCATACCCGATAGCGGATCTCCTTGGAAGTATCAGAAGTGCTCGCGCCCACATTGCGAAGATGTAATCCTAGAGCCAATGCTCCTCGAATCGCAATTCCAGATAGTTTCCAGGCCCTAGAGAGACCAGCACTGTGAGTATATATCCAAACTGCCAGATCTACCAACTTACCGATTGATATGACCTGCCCCGGTAAGGTAGAACGAAGTGAGTCCTTCAACTTGCAGCTGTTGCAGATCAGGATGATGGAGAATCTGATTTTCTAGACTCAAAGCCCGCGCCCTTGAGAAATACATTTGGTGGTCATCTTCTTCATCCAACCATTCCGCGTAGGTCAATTGGCCATACTTTGACGCAATGGCAAATATCATATTCAGTATGGCGAGCCACTTGTTTCCTGGCTTGAGAGCTGGCTGACTGAAGAAAACCTGGAACTGGGAGACAAATGTCGAGATCCCAATGATTGGAAATGATGGATGCACCGAGGTCAGATAGACATTGAGCAATTTGGTTGCTGGCTCACGAGATGGAACTGCATAAGCATCACCATGATCTGCAGTTGGAATATCCATATCATCAACGTAATAATTGGAACACACCACCCATGGATCACTGGGATTTTCTGGTCTAGGCGTCAAAGTTGGCGAAGGTAGACCGTTAACATCATCTGTGTTGAGAAGAGTGGCCGGCCATGCTTCACATTCATTGTTAACTTCTTTGCTGAGCCTCTGGAGCCAAGTAATTTCGGAGCTTTTCCCGATAAACCCAGTTGCTCGTGCGGTTTCGTCTCGGTTGAAGTCTTCCTCCGTCTGGTCTCCGGATTCCAGAGGACTAACAGATGAAGCTCGAGAGGGTGGTGGCTCCGAACCAGAGCGCCAAAGTATGAATTTTTGGTCTCCGCCTGTTGTGATGGATGCATCTGGGTTAAGCGCCACGTCTGGGGCCGATTCCTGGTTGGTCTTAGCCTTTACTTTTTTTTTTTCTTTTTACTCGTGGGCGTGGATCGAGTCTCATACCGCTGCTAGGGCTATGTTTACCAGCTGTTCGTCAGAGACTCCAAATCGATTGCTCAGCTTGCTGATCACATCTTCATATGCCTGCACCTTTGCCGATAGGCTTGCAAGTTGTCTTTCAAGTGGTTAGGATGTTAATATATGCAATGAGAATATGTAGTCTGTTCTTACCGTTTAGACTTTTCTCTTTTGCCATCAGTATAGCAGCAAATGATTCCAGCTTCTCGACAGTTGCGGCAGCCAGACTTGTCGCCAGTACACTTCGTCTTTCGCTGTCTGCAAGACTCGCAAGCCCGACGAACATGTCGACGATGGAACCTGCCAGGCGAGGTGAAAGCCGACTCAGCTCCTTCCGCAAGTCGCGGAATGGCCATTTTCTTGCTACCAAGATCAGTATCGCGATGTTGGAGTTGCGGCACTGGATTATCCTACAGATCTTTTATCAGTGTCGCTGCTATGCCTGCTCGCGTGGGCACTTACCACATTGGATAGCTGGTTATACGTCTCAGCGTCGGCGCATGATAGGTTAAAGATGTTTTGCTGCTCGCTCCATGGCGGGAAATGTAAGCTACTCATGGTCAATCATCGGATTATGAGGACTGAAGGTGTTCAATGCTGTTAGGGAGAGTTGCTCGAGTCATATAATCCCAGAAGACTTGCCTGAATGCGTAGGTTAATCGTGAAATATATCCAAGTCCCATTGAACTATGAATATATTGAAGCGACGGTATCCGCAACCACTTGTCGAGACATTGGGCAAAAGATGGAAATAGATCAGGAGGCGATGGGTCTTATAAAACCACCCCAAGGTTCGACCCAGGAGAAGCATATAACGGGGAAAGATGTGTCAAGAGAGGTTCGGGTTTCCAGCACCGCTTGGAATCGCAAGTCGGCTCGTAATGCTTTGTCGTTTTGACAAGGAGTCAACACGCAACATGGCCACCGATCACCGAACTAGGAATAGTTGTTCGGTTTTGACCTCATAGCTAGGTACCTTGCTAGGAGACGAGGCAAAAAGTTCAACGTTTTTATGAGCAACACACCCTTCTCGCAGTTGTTTGATCACGCTATTTGCCTTCAACCAACCATAATTATAGGCTAGCACCTTATCACACACCAGGGGAATTATGGTATTGGCTTAACCGTTTGATAATTTCCCCGGGAATTCATGCTTGACTAGGCTGGCTTTCGGTTGTTGGAACCGTCTGGCTCTGGACCCCGAGGAGGCGACCAATGGACCAGATATAAGAAATAATTTGAGTGTCAAGGCTTCCAATCATGGACTGCCAATGATGCTGCCAAAAGCTCTTGCAAGCTCTAAACACAGGTCATATTGAAGAGGTAGAACTGCCAATGCAAGACATGCTACCCTCTGTCCGAATATTCAAGATCTGATAAATTCCCTTAGTAGTCGAATGTAGTGGCCAGACCAGGCCGATTGAAGTCAATCTGACGTGTTTGACGGTAAATGGAGGCGCCGATTTCGAGATTCGTCCCTGGTTAACTTTCAGGCCGGACCTGAAGGTGAAGGTGTGTCAACAGGGGAAATGTCCGCAAAGCTTTACGGCAATTGGTACGAGAATCTCTCGTTTGTTTGGGTATATGACGTTCATATCTCTGACGCGGTGTTACGTGGAGATGACTCTATGGTGATGCCTCCAGGGCTGGTGTAGTAGGCTTAACCCTAAAGTTTAAGTTAACCTAAACTATTAATCCATGACTAGTATACACGGGAAGAATTGTGTGCCATTATATATATAGCGATAGTCATATTCGACACCGAAGTTGGCTGTTGCACAAGGTACGATATATATCGCTCGGAAGCGAGCTTAAAAGCATAGGACATTCTAAATTATGATTAGAGGTGTAGTTCAGAACGAATTAGAATTTCCCATTAGCTCTAGTTCATCTTAAAAAGGGATAATCTTTTGCACAAGACTATAGAAGAAAGAGGCTGGGAAGATAATCAAATCAGGCATTGGCTTAACACGATCTTGGAAGCAAAATAGAACACCACCACAACCCGAACATCATTAGGAACCTATACAATAGTAATCCAAGCCCACTTTTTACTCAATGTGGAAGTTCTCAGCAACGCTACGGACATCCTTGGAGAAGCCGGCGTTCTCACCCTCCATCTCTAGGAGAGAAACGCTGTGGACGTCAACATCTACGAAGGGCTTGGTCTTCGTGAAGCGAACGCTCATGGGGAAGAATTCGTTCTCATCGGCGTCGGTCGCCTCAAATTCAAAGCTGCCGGAAGCGTTCGACTCATCGACAGCACCCAGGTTCCAGTCCAGACTGTCTCCAGAGACCTCGTAAACTGCATCGAAGCTGGATACTGCGGGCTCCGCTGAGCCGTAAGGAATGGTAACGACAACATCGCGCAGACTGTCCTCGCCGGTGAGCTCATACTCCACGGTCACCGTGGTTGAGTCAGAGCCCTTGTTTACCCAGACGGTGAATGTGATGGGAAGAATATCGGCATTGTCAGCCGAGCTGGCCACACGCCACCGCAGAACACCGATGGAGTTGTTGGCTGGGAATCGCTTGGTAGTATCCTTCAATTGGATGGCGGAGGAGCTGGTGAAGAGGGCCTTGTCGACGTTGGGGTGAGTGCGGAATTGTGCGCCATGTGTGGGGACAGCCTGACAATCAAGTCGAAGCTTGGTGAATGAAGGGTCGGTGATGCGAAGCTGCAGGTCACCCTTGACCTCGAATGACTTCAAGGCACCCTCCCGCGTCAGGGTGGCTGAGATGGTCTCGGCGATTGTGAGATGGATGGGTTCCCGGTCCGCGTTGAGGGACTCGCGGGCTGAGGAAATTTCTTGCACGGGGGTCGAGATTTGAGGAGTCACCAAGGGGCTCTCTTCCTCAGGCTCGGGGCCTAGATCACCCCGCACCTTCTCGTAGATATCGGTTGCCTTGGACTTCTTGCCAAGTTGCATACCCTTGCCGCGGGTGGGAATGGGCCTAGTATCACGCAGTCAGCAATGCCCCGGCAACGAACAGGTCGCGGATGCAGGGAACGTACTTGGAGAATGCCTTCTTCTTCTCGGCCTCATATGAATCGTAGGTGTCGGGCACCGACGGACGGGACGGGGGTGTGTAGACGGGGTAGGATGGGGTTCTTGGGGCCGCAGCACGACCTGTGCGAGCAGCCTCCTTGCGCTGCATCTCCAACTGCTTCGCCTTCCTCTTGCGCTCCTCGCTGGCCTCCAACTCTTTGTTCTATCGATGCCTGTTAGCCATAGATCAACCCGGCGTGCTATCCCGCAACGTACCCGCTCAATAATCTCTTGGATTCTCTCCTCGTGACTCTCCATTTCCAAAAAGGTCTTAATCTGAGACAGAGAAAGGTTCTCCCGGTATCCCAATGTCACCAACTCATCGAATGCACTCAGGAGTTCGAAGGCATTGCGGAGGATCTCCCGCTCGTCCAGGCTCTTGCAGATGCTGGTTGTGACTTGCGCGAAGAGGTGGAGACTGTCGATGTCTTGTAGAATGTTGGATTGGCGGTTGGTGATCAGGATAATGTACAACTCGTCCAATGGCTGATAAACGAAGCGCACGTTGTCTTGCTCAACAGTAGTATGCTGGGTTCCGGAGTCCGCAAGCTTGGGGAAAGAGGCGAGGAGGGCTTCGATTCGCGACCGAGAGATCTCTCGGAATTGGCGCGAGAGAACTGCTTTGCCTCCGCGAGTACAAATCGACGCTGCCAGAACGACCTGTTGTGTGTTGATTAGTTGGACTCCCCCCGCGAAATGGCTCACACAGGGGCATACCATGGTGAAGGGGGCGTCAGTCAATGACAGTCAAAATATTCAGGGGAAAGGAATGGCACAGAGACCACAGAATAACAGTAGAGTGGACTAAACAAGCATATGCGGTGATGGCAACGGTAGGGAGCTACTCTGTTCACTTCGGCGGATGGTCCGTGCACCACTTTCGCTTAGTCGGCAACCACTTTCTTCCTCACTTCACCTTTTTCCCACGCGTTTGATACTCTTTGCCCGCACCCGCTTCATCGTTCTCTTTTCTCTTCTTAGGTTTTCTACTTTTACAGAGAGCCGAGAGGCTTTTCTCGTTCAACTTTACATCCACTTCGTACGTTTTCATGGAAGCTCACCACTGAGCCTTCCATCACGTACCTGTGGCACTCAAACAAGTTCACGCGTTTTTTTTCTTGCCATGACAGCAGTTCCTTCTGTACCATTCCCCGCCATGGAATTTCCCGCTGTGGAAGACTCTATGGAGATGGCCTCGCCCTACCAGGGGCAGGTCGACGATTTTGACATCGACATCGATTTCATGGAGGACCATGAAAAAGTCTCCAATATGGACAGTGATATGATGGGTGCCGAGGAATACACCAACGCATCCCAGCCTACCGAGTTCAACGAGACGATACACGATGCCGACATGGCCGATGAGCCCTCCGAGGGGTCGATGGTCGATGCCGACTACGTCGACCAAGACAACGATATTGATGTGAATTTTGGGGAGGAGACGTACGAAGCTGAGATGATTGAAGACGATCAAGTCGAAGACGTTGATATTCCAGTCCCTACTATTCAGTTAGAAACCACGACCGCCAATGAAGACACCAGCAAGCCCAACGAGGTAAATGAAAGAGTCTCAGTCATGGCCGAGCAACCTACACTGGAAGTACAGGAAACCCCGAGTGCCCCTGCCGAATCTCAACACGATCAAGTTGAGCCTCAGATACCTGAGACTCAGGTCCCTAGCACCGAAGCCGTGCCCACCAAGGATGACGGCCTTGCCCAGAACCCGACCGAAAATGTCACTACGACCGAAAATGTCACTACGACCGAAAACACCGACGATCACGAAAACGCCGATCTTGGCCAAGAGGTGAATGAGGCAGCAACCACTTCTGTCTCAGCGACCGATAAGAATCTTGAGGCAACTGAAGGCCTCGAGACCACTCAAGTCCAGGCTTCTCTTGAAGAGCCCCAAGCTGCTACCGCCGCAACCGCCGCAACCGCCGCAACCGAGCATGCTGAGACACAGCCTTCGCATGAAGGAGAGGACCACGCTGAGCATGGAGATGAATCTTTACATCCGGTGAAAATCTATTATCAGGACAATGAAATTGCTCTCTTCCCCCTCTGGAGGGTGATTCAGCAGAGACATTCTTCCTTCACGATGAAGATGTGGCCTATGAAAACATTGGTGAATTGTTTAAGGCTCTGCGCCTGGTGCTCCAGGGTAATGTGGCGGACAATGAGGTCCTCATTATTGATATCGACGTGCTTGGTATCCAAATGACAGAGGTATGTATCTTCCCTTTTTTTCCCAGTCGATCAACGAACTAACCCCTTTTCCAGGACTCTTTCCACGCATCCCAGGTTACTTTGCACCAGGTCGTGGACCTTTACCTTCGACTTTGTCATAACGATGGCACCACGGATGCTGAAGCTCTCTATCTAACACTAAGCAGCAAGCGCGCGTTCCCTGCTGAAATCGCTGATCTCCTCGACGCTGCAAATGAAGGCAAGGGACTCTCCGGAATTCACCCGTGGGCTGATTATGATGAACATGAGCCCGGTTCTGAAGATGATATTGAAATTCATAAGACTGAGCAACATGAGGATGGATCTTCCAGCGAAGAGGCTCAGCCAGAACAATCAGACCGTGAAGCTAAGCTTGCTCTGTCCGGCGAAGATCAGGCTCCTGCAGACGGCGTGGGTCAAACCCAGGAAGACCGCCCCGATGATGACCAGAGAAAGGATTTGCCGCAGGAGGATATTGCATCTGCCGCTTCCCAGAAAGAGACGCAAGCTACACCAGAGTCTGACGCTCTTCAAGGTTCCCCTGAAGGCAAAGAGACTGATCAGTTTGACCACTATGAGCACTTTGAAGGCGAACATGTGCAAGAAGATGGTCCCCACCATGATGATAAAGCTGAGACTCACGATGATCGAAATGAAGATCACTACGATTCGGAAGGCCAACAGAGCGAGTCTACGGCCACTGTGGCCCCGCTTTCTGGTGAGACTGAGATCACAGAGCTGATCGAGGATGTCTCTGCAGATGCTGCGGAAGCCAACCATGACCAAAATGGAGATGAAAATGATGGGTTCGACGCCGACTACTATAACAACGAGGACAATGGTTTCGGTGATGACCAACAGAACTTCCAGGATGAATCTGCCGGCGAGGATAACGATGCTGGTGCTCAACAACCTGCTGGTCATGCACCCGGTCCTGATGGAGATGGAGATGAATTAGGTGCTCCCCCACGGATGAAGTCGTGTCGGCAGATGCCTTCGACGACGAAGGCTCTCACACTTCTCATGACCAAGCGGAACCGACCTTAAATGGTGCGCCACAAGACGCATCTGGCAAGGAGCAAACCCCTGATCATGTAGATGATTTGCTTGAGATAGCTCCAGACGTGCTGCAAAGCCCTGCGAAGGATACCGAGCACGAACCCCTTGATCACATTGAGAGCGTAGACTCCGGCGAGCTTGAGCACGAACTCGCTCACAATGAAGGTGCCGACGAGCAACATTTCAATAAGGACAACTTTGGTGAACACGACCCCAAGTTGGAAGAATCCGAGGCAGTCGTGCTGGCTGAGGCAGACCATTCCCCTGCGGATTCCGAACCCAGCGCGAACCTGTCTGCCAAACGGTCTCGCGAAGACGACGACGATGAATGGGATCTCGTGGAAACCACCATTGACACCAAGCGCCGCCGGTCGTCGTAAACCCGCTGTCACTAGGCCCGGTCCAAGGGCCTTGCCTCCACCCTCTCCTACCATGTGGCCTCACCTTGGGATGATGGCCACTCTCCACCCTCTACTAATCATACTTACCAGCGACGACCTCGGCCGGCGGACGCAGTGTCACGTTTGAGAATTAACTACTCACAGGTATGTTCGACCCTTTCCCTCGCTTCCGTCCCCGATCCCTGGGACCCGCGATTTCTTTGTTCGCCTCCTCGCATCTGGATCAAACACCGGTCCGCGACACATTCCCCGATTCCCCTGATTTTCATTTGCATTTTCTGCCTTGTCTGGTTCTTTCCTTGCGATTTCGAGATACCACGTTCGGTCTTCGGCCAAAATTTGTGTTCGGTGTTGATGGATGTTGGGACTTGTTTTTTTTTAAAAAAATCCTCCATAGGACTTAGGCGTATCGGCGCGATGGGATATTCCACGTGTAGCATACCACAGATTTACATGTATTCCTATTCTTATTTTATGCTGCATAAAAAGTAGACCCGTTCCTCGAATTATGAAAACACTTGGAATGTAGCTCGCATGTCTCAGCTCTTATGGGGACAAGGGTCGAAGTACCGGCACTAGACGTGGTCCTTGGCCAGTTTCCACTTGATAAACGCCATGGAGTCAATAGTATGAGTTTATTGAAGATGAATGACTATGTATAGAAACGCCGCATTCGGAGCTGAAACGATCGCCGCACTCATTTCAGGGTCCAAGAAATGAGAAATGCAGGTTCAGGTACCGAGGGATAATCAATGTGACTAGTAATAAGTAACAAGGGACTGGCTGTATAGGACTTCCAAGGTACTGGAACTGGCCACCTAATTATATTCTGGAGTGTAAAACTTATCCCGATATCCAGATCTCCCTGTTTCAAGACTTTTAATTACAAGTCGATTCCAGGTCGCCTCTCCAGACTCAGCCGTTCTCTTACGCGTCCCGATCGGCCAGGCTTGAAACCGGAACCCCACCGCACGCAGGCACCACATCTCAGCCTTCTTCCTTCATCTCAACATCCCCGGCTTCACTTCTAGACTTTCGCTTTTGTTTGCTTCCCCTTCGCTCATTCGAGTCGCTCGCTCATTTCCCCGATCCATTGCCGGCCCTGGAGGTCTTTCGACAGTAGGAGCACTCGGCTCCTCAGGAATTACGTCAAGATGCTTCCAGACAAGTATGGCTTCCCTTTCGAATGGCTGTGGACAAGCTGGCCAGGAGCTCTAACATCGTTGCGCGCAACCCCTTAGATATGTCGGACTCATCCTAGCCATTGTTTCGACTATGGGAATCGGCACGAGTTTTGTTATTACGAAATTGGTTCGTCTGGATGGAACTCGGTCGGGGAATGGGATGGAGAGCTAATGGGTTTGGTACAGGGTTTGAATCATGCATCCGAGCGACATGGCTTCGAGGGTGAAGGATTCTCATATTTGAAGAGTCCCCTGTGGTGGGCTGGTGTCTCTCTACGTACGCACCCTGTGCCAGAATCGACGATCGGGCTATGCAGAAGCTAATGAGATTGATAGTGGGACTCGGCGAAGTGGCCAACTTCGCGGCATATGCGTTTGCGCCCGCGATTCTCGTGACGCCGTTGGGTGCGCTGAGTGTGTTGATCGGGTAGGGAGCTCCCGAGATGGTGTGCGTGGATACAGCGACACTAAGGCTGACAATCACAGGTCCGTTCTCGGCTCGTACTTCCTCAAGGAGAAACTCGGTGTTTTGGGGAAACTGGGGTGTGCGATGTGCTTGTTGGGTTCGGTTATTATCGTTCTTCATGCGCCTCCCGACAAGCAGGTGGAAACCGTCAATGAGATCCTTGGATATGCTGTTCAGCCAGGTATGTCTCGAGATTGGTTTGCGGCACTGGCAGATCGCTGACTCTTTCTACGCAGGGTTCCTTATCTACTGTCTGGCGGTCGCGATCTTCTCCACGCTGATGATTTATCGGGTTGCCCCAGTCTACGGCAAGAAGAACCCCCTCATCTACATCTCGATTTGCTCCACTGTTGGGTCGGTTTCAGTCATGTCTGTGAAAGCGTTCGGCATTGCAGTCAAGTTGACATTTGCGGGCAACAACCAATTCGTCCATGCCTCTACTTACGTCTTCGCCATTGTGACCGGATTCTGCATTCTCACTCAGATGAACTACTTCAACAAGGCATTGAACTCGTTCTCCACCTCGATGTAAGTGAGATGTTCCTCAGGATGAAGACACGGTACTCACATAAGGTCGCTGCAGTGTGAACCCGCTTTACTACGTCACCTTCACGACCGCGACTCTTTGCGCCTCGTTCATCCTTTTCAAGGGATTTAACACCACAGATGCAGTCAACACGATATCTCTGCTCTGTGGATTCCTCATTATCTTCACCGGCGTGTACCTCCTGAACCTCTCGCGACACGACCCTGACGGACACCACATGGTGAACTCCAAGCTGGACGAGGACGGAGTGCCAACGGATGCTATTGCGAGCTTCCAGACCCGGCGCTCTATGCAGTCCCGGCGAAGCTCCTCGAGCGCATACCTGAATGGAAACGGCGACCGTGAGGGGCTCATCCATGCGTACGACGTGGAGCACAACGGAATAAGCATGAATGATTTCGCAGAGGCAAGCGATGGGGAGCCAGGGCCGACGTTCCCACGTACCGACAGGACGACTGCGAAGCATACCAAGCAGAACAGTCAACTCTGATGGTATAGGGCTTCAATTGTATTTTTACTCTACGAAAATGCCAAGAGTTGCAGAACTCGGGCTCAGGCAGAGAGATGTCTGAACGACTGGATATGACTCTGGGTATGCGTTTTGTTTTGTATATAGTCTTCTCTTGGATTTCTTGAATAGATGGTGGGGCCGATGATGTAGTCAGCTGTTTATGGAACATGCCCATCCGAGATTCTACTCTTCCCTCTCTGCCTTTTCAGGCTGTTTGATAGTCGCCAACCAAGGGGGAAGCAAGATGCCCGGTCTCCTGCGCAAACTAGTTATCGTCGCCGCAGTCGACGGCCTAATCCTTCACGCAGCCAACACCCGATCTAACAGCGGATGCAATAATGAAGCCTCCTCAATCCGCATCGACTACAAAACGAACAAGATAACCGCCCTGCCAACCTCGGCCTCAGAGCCTCTCGACGGGAAAGACGCCCTAGAAGCCCACGGTCTAATCGGTACGTGAAACAGCTATCCAACCCCACAGAAACACAACCTAACCCGCGGGGGTGAACAACCCACACCCCACAGGCCTATTATCCGTCGACTCATACTCATTCCTGGTATCAATCACACAGCGCGAACAGGTCGCCCAAATCCAAGGCCGACCCGTCTACGCCGTAACAAACGTGGCCATCATCCCCATCTCCTCCCAAGCAGACGCCACCCGCGCAATCATACAAGCTAGAAAAGATACAGCCCAGGAGATCCTCTCGCTCGACTCCTCCGATGAAGATGAAGACGATCTCCCGGATAATGAAATAGATCGTGCGGAGGTAGAGATTGGTAGCTTGCCCGCGTCGCCGACTCGTGAGTTGCACCATGCCCGCGGTGCTAGCGCTGGAAGCATCGCGGAAGATGTAATCGGCAAGCGGGTTCGCTTTGGTCGCTTTGCGGCTAATTGGTTGTCGCGTAAGAACTTGGGCTTGCCTAGGCCTGGTGCTTTGGAGCAGGATGCCCCTGCCACTGCTCCTGTTCCGGCCCAAGTGGCTGAGTCTGAATCACCTTTTGATGACGATGCGCCCAGCCCTTCGAGTGAGGCCCGTGATGCAAAGGATGGGCCTTCTTTGCAGGCGGGTACGCTCGATGGACCGGGCGAGTCGGATTTCGATCGGCTGAAATCTGGTCAGGCTACTGATCTCTTGCCGAAGTTGTTAAGGTATACGAGGCTTTTGTTTGCTTCGCGCAATTTCTTCTTTGCTTATGATTATGACCTTACGCGTTCTCTGCACACGCAGGAGGCTAGGAAGGATTTGCTTCCGCTTCATAAAGTTGTTGACCCGTTGGTATGCGCGAAATATATGCTTGGGTACTTATTCTCTTGAGGTCTTGCTTACTGACTTTTTGCAGTATTTTTGGAATAGACATTTGATGAATGCATTCATTGATAATGGGGCTCATGGTTTTGTTTTACCGCTTATTCAAGGCTTCGTTGGCCAGCGTGAATTTACCATTGCTGGCGCTGAGAAAAAGTCGTCAGAAGAACTCACAGGAGGTAAAATTCTCGGTGAGAAGCGCGAGGCTGAGGCTGTTGAAACCGACGCCAGCAAGCGTGATTACCTTCTGACGCTCATTTCTCGACGGTCTGTTAATCGGCCGGGTCTTCGTTACCTGCGCCGCGGTATCGATGACGAGGGCAACACCGCCAATACTGTCGAGACTGAGCAGATTTTTTCAGTTCCTGATTGGAATCCGTCTCGTCCTGCCTACTCTTATATGCAAGTCCGAGGCTCAATCCCGTTGTACTTTTCTCAGTCGCCATATACTTTAAAGCCAATTCCTGTGTTGCATCATTCAGCGGATACCAATCTTCTTGCTTTCAGCAGACACTTCCGAGAGTTCAGTCGGAGGTACGGGAAGATCCAGGCCGTTTCCCTCGTTGACAAGCTCGCCGGTGAATTGAAGCTAGGAGAGCAATATGAGAGATACACGCAATCCTTCAATGAAGCCGGTGGCATTGATGGCACTCCATTGAGCCTCGAGTGGTTTGACTTCCACCGCGAATGTCGCGGAATGAAGTTTGAGAACGTGTCTCGTTTGGTCGACCGTCTGAAAGACACACTGAACGAGTTCTGCTACACAATCCTCGCAAACAACGACATCCTGCAGACCCAAAAGGGTATCATCCGAACCAACTGCATGGACTGCCTTGACCGCACCGGCGTCGCCCAGTGTGCATTCGGACAATGGGCCCTCGAGCACCAACTCGAGAACGAAGGCATCGATATTGACTTCGGCGGCGACTCCTCAACTCAATGGTTCAACACGTTGTGGGCCGACAACGGCGACGCCATCTCCAAGCAATACTCATCCACCGCAGCCCTCAAGGGCGACTACACCCGCACCCGTAAACGAGACTACCGCGGCGCCCTCAACGACCTCGGTCTCACCCTGTCACGATACTACAACAACATCGTCAACGACTTCTTCTCCCAAGCCTGCATCGACTACCTCCTAGGCAACGTCTCAACCCAAGTCTTCGACGAATTCGCCATCCAACTCCAAACCACAGACCCAGGAATCTCCGTCCAAAAGCTCCGCCAAAACGCGATCGATACGAGTTGCAAAATAGTCATCAGCAGTCCCTCCGAGGACTTCCTCGGTGGCTGGACAATGCTCACCCCGCGCCAACCAAATACCCTCCGCACATTCCCCTTCGAAGAATCCGTCCTCCTCCTCACAGACGCAGCCGTCTATAGCTGCCGCTTCGACTGGGAAACAGATAAAGTCCGCTCCTTCGAGCGCATCGACCTCCGCTCCATTTCCCGCATCCACTATGGCACTTACATCACCTCTATCCTGACGGAGAGCCAAGCAAACGAAGCGAGTAATGTCGGCCTTGTCATCGTCTACAGAGACGGGGATGCAAATACCCTCCGTGTTAACACGCGCTCCCTCCAAAGTGATGTCAATATGAGTTCGCTTGAGACAACTGCTAGTGCGAATAGCGAGTGGGATCTTGTTTCTTGGCTGCGTGGTGTGAAAAGGGCTACGACGCGCTTCGTTGCGTTTAAGGGGTTACCTTTGTCGACTTCTGTGGCTAGTCCACGGCTCGGCCCTACGACCGGTGTGGTGAAAGAGATGGATCGGGTGAGGTCTATCGCTTTGGATATTGAGCGCGCTATGCTTGCTGGTGATGGGAGAAATGTTGAGGCTTCTTCGGCTGTTGAGGAGTCGGATATTATTTCTCTTGCTGATGCGAAGAAGAGGACTGGTTGGTTGGAATATTTGGTTTATGATTTGAAGAAGATGGTTTGGGCTTGATTGTAGGCTTTCTTGTCTTGTGTGGTTTCTGGTGCATGGCGAAGTGTGATGTGGTGTCTCAGGGAAGGTGAAGGCGACTGGTGATCCGTTGACTTTCATCATAGCGTTGACGTTCATCGTCCCCTTGCCCATAGTGCGTTATTGCGTGGTGATTGACTGCGATGATATCCCATCGGTGCTACTGCAATCTTACATACGGACTACCTTACCGAGGATACTGGTTGCGTACCTCTTACCCATGGGCACGACGCATGGGTATAAATTGCTGCCAGGACTTAGCGAAGTCGTGTCAGGTCGTTTGGTTTTGCGTTGGGTTCGTTCAGGGATTGATGCGCGTTGATTCGCAGTCTGCACGGTATACGTTCCAAAATCTACAATGCTCTTCTTTCTTCGGGGTTCGCCCTTTCGGATTACTTCTATCTAGGTAGCAATGGACACGACTTGTGCGGATGACTCACTGCCCGTTTTGGACCGATTCATGGCTGGCTAATGGTTGACTCTACTTTGAAAGCGCTCAGAAGTAGATCTGATGTTTATTTGCTGGGTTGTCAGCTATAATTTCCAAATGTAGTTCTTCTTCCTTCACTCCCTCATACAATTCGTCTGCAGGAGTTTGGCATGTTTCATAGGGACAACCCACTGGTATCCTGTAGCGAATTCCATTTCGGTTTGTTTCGTGGTCGTTTGAGTCCGGATGTATATCGCGCGTTCTTACGCCAGGGCTCCCTGATATAAGATCCCAAATTTACCTCCTGTTTCTTCCTTCCACCTTTAGCTAATTCTGGTTCTGGTTGTTTTACGTTTTGCAAAAAGATCTAGATGTATCTCGTGCGTTTGTTTCTCCATGGGGCCTGTCCCCTAAAATCCCAGATTTACTTGGATCTCTCTTCCTTTTATCGTCCGGCAAAAGATCCAGATGTTTCTCGCGTGTTTCCATACGAGGGTTTCCCGCCATAAAATGCCCAATTTACCTCCAGTTTCTCTTTTCCTTCTTCGTCGATGCCCAGCCCTGGTTGTTTGACGTTCTGATCAACCTTGGAGGGTTCAAAGGTATCTCGCGCATTTTACACGGAGAATACACACTATAAGATCCCAAATCTACTTCAATTTCCTTTCTCCCTTCTTCGCCTCTCCGGTTTGGCACGGGAAAGACTTGAAGTTTTCCATATTTTCATCTTTGATCTTTGGATGTTTGACCTGGCTTTACAGTTCTACACCGCCTTCCCATCTCAGCCACATTGTTTTTTTCTGCCTGTGCACCCCCTCTTGCACCCTCGACAGTTCTCTTCGTTTCTTTGCTCTGCAATATCTTACGGCTGATTTCCAATTCCTTTATGATTTCTGGATCTGTGTAAGCAGACCAGCGCCGTGGGTGATCGCTTTGTTCTATCTGGGGAATCGAAGGGGCCCGTTCCCACATTCTCGGCGGGGCTCCTGTGCCACTCGCACTTTCGACTACACTTCTTACAACAGTCGACCCGAGTCCATACACCTAACAAGATGGACTGGCAACCTCAGGAGGAGCCATTGAGGCAGCTGGCTTGCTGCCTCCGCGACTCTCTTATTGGAGGAATCGGTCCAGCTCGCAAGCAAGCTGAACAGGTAATGGCTTTCCCTTTTTTTGTCCGCCTCTGCGGCTCTACACCGGGATGTATGCTGACTTCAAATCCTCTACCGAAAGATGCTTGCTCAAGCGACCTCTTCTCCGGACTACATTAACTACATCACCTATCTCTTCTCCACCCCGCACCCTCCTGCCTCGTCGGGGATCAGCAATGCGGAGTACAGCACCATTCGATTCGCCGCCGCCATGAACGTCAAGACCAAAATCTTCGTCGCTTACAGCACCATTTCCCCCAGAGTCTGGTCTTCGTGCGGTCTGCGGCTTTGCTTGCGCTGCGCGACTCCGAACGCAACGTCCAGCGGGGTGCTGGTAGCATCATTACAGAGCTCCTAAGCCAAGGAGGCCTGTTGGCCTGGCCCGAGGTCCTTCAGGAACTTTTGTCTCTCGTTGGCAATGCCTCTGGTGATGTTACCATTGGCACTCGGGAGGCTGCTATGGAGGCTCTGCTGAAAGTCTGCGAGGACAACCGCAAGATCCTCGACCGCGACTATTCCGGACAGCGCCCACTCGACGTTATTATTCCCAAGCTCTTGGAGTTCAGCTCCAGTGAGAGCTCAAATATCCGTGCTACCGCTCTCAGTGCCGTCCACATTTTCCTTCCTTACAAGCCCCAGGCTTTGATGGCCTCGCTTGATCTTTTCCTTTCACAGTTGTTCAACTTATCTGGCGACCAGGATACCAAGGTCCGGCAGATGGTTTGCCAATCTTTCTCCCAGCTGGTGGAGTTCGCGCCGGAGAAGCTTGCCCCGCATATGGAAGGTCTGGTCAACTATATCATCATGCAGCAGCAGTCTCAGGATGACCCGGAGCTCGCCCTCGACGCAGCCGAGTTCTGGATCGGGGCTGGAGAGCAAGCGCAGTTGAAACAAGCACTTGCTCCATTCATGCCGAAGATCATTCCGGTCCTTCTCCAGAACATGATCTATGAGGAGGATGAGGTCATTCGACTGATGGCCGAACAGGATGATGCTGATACCGAGGACCGCGCTGAGGATCTCAAGCCCCAGTTCGCAAAGTCCAAGGCAGACCGTTTGAATATGAACAAGCAGGGTGATCAAGCGAACGCCCAGGAGGAACAACAGATCGAAGAGGATGATGATGAGCTGAGCGAAGGCGAAATTGAGGATTCCGAATTTGGGGACGATCCTTCCGGTAACTGGACTCTGCGCAAGTGTTCTGCTGCAGCACTCGACGTCTTTTCCAACGTCTACCACCGTCCCGTCTTTGAAATTCTCCTGCCATACCTCAAGGAGACTCTCCGCCATGAGCAGTGGCCCAACCGTGAAGCTGCCGTCCTCACTTTGGGCGCAGTTGCTGATGGATGCATGGATGCCGTGACTCCCCACCTCCCAGAGCTCGTCCCTTACCTGATCTCACTACTTAACGATGCCCAGCCTGTCGTGCGACAGATCACTTGCTGGTGCTTGGTCCGCTATTCCGGCTGGGCGGCAGGTCTTCGTGACCCATCCCAGAAAGCGCAATACTTCGAGCCTATGATGGAAGGTATTCTTCACCGCATGCTGGACAGCAACAAGAAGGTCCAAGAAGCTGCTGCATCGGCATTCGCCAGCCTAGAAGAGAAGGCAGATGACAACCTGTTGCCATACTGCGAGCCCATCCTGCGCCAGTTTGTCGCATGCTTCGGCAAATACAAGGACAGAAACATGTACATTCTCTACGACTGTGTGCAAACGCTGGCGGAATGTGTCATGAACGAACTTGCCAAGCCACACCTGGTCGATATCCTCATGCCCGCCCTCATCGGACGCTACAACTCTGTCAGCGACGAGTCTCGGGAGTTGTTCCCTCTCCTCGAGTGCCTTGGCTACATTGCTGCGGCCTACGGCGATGTTTTCGCGCAATTCGCACCACCTCTTTTCCAGCGCTGCATCAGAATTATCTATGAGAACCTGCAGGCATCTCTTCAATCGGCAAACAACGCCGCTTACGATGAGCCTGACAAGGACTTCTTGGTCACCAGCCTAGATCTCCTCAGTGCCATCATTCAGGCTATCGACCCACATAAGAGTGGCGAGCTTGTATCCACCTCCCAGCCACGGTTCTTCGACATCCTTTGCTATTGCATGGAGGATGCCAACTACGAAGTCCGTCAGTCTTCATACGCTCTTCTGGGTGACTGCGCCATTAGCATCTTCCCGCATCTGGAACCTTTCATCCCCACTATCGCACCCATACTCATTAAGCAGCTCGACCTGGACCTCATCCGCGACGACGATCGCCACACCGGCTTCAGTGTTTTGAACAACGCCTGCTGGTCCTGCGGTGAGATTGCCGTGAACGATAACGCCGGCCTCTCGCCATACGCAGACAAGCTCTACCACAGCCTCCTCACCATCATTAACAACGAGGAGATCATCGATTCCGTCAACGAGAACGCGGCTATGGCATTGGGACGGTTGGGATTCTGCTGCGCCGACCAGATGGCGCCACGATTGAGCGAATGCTCTGGACCTTTCCTGAAGTCAATGGACAAGATTGACTTCACCCGTGAGAAGGCGTCGGCCTTCCTCGGTTTCAACCAGGTCGTCATGAAGAACCCCCAGGCCATGGAGTCGAGCCTGGTCGACTACTTCCAGGCCATTGCCACTTTCCCCGCTAAGTCGCTGGCGCAGGACGAGTACCGCGAGATTCAGGTCTCGTTCCAGCAGGTAAGAACATTTACTTTGGACTGCTTACAACGTCCCGCTAATCTAGTCGCCCAGGTTCTCCAAGGGTACAAGAATATGATACCTAACTTCGACGACTTCCTCGGCCAGCTCCCCCAGCCAGTGGCCCAGAAACTGCGCTCGGTGTACCAGATCTAAGCGGGGACCGTTTCGGTCTACGCTTACACCATAGCGTCAGTTTGGCCCGGGATTTCACCCCACGGGCAGGGCGAGTTGGGAGGAAATGGACAAAGTACATAGGGCCATGGGCCAATTTTTCTTTCTTTCGAAGTTAATAGAGTTAATAGTAAGAGGAGGGATATAGGGCGAAGTTTGGGGGAGGGGGGGAGGAGGTGGGGGCAAAAATCATGGGATAGGAGCATTCTGCGATTTAGCCGTTTTTTTTTACGTTTACATCTCATGATTGCAATGGGCATGCATGATTCTGAAATGATCTCCATTTCTTCTTTACTTTTGCTTTGGTTTCCATTTTTATTTTATTTCTTGCATCCATTTGGCCCCATTGGTCAGGGCCGGCTCCTAGGTAGTTTTTCTTTCTTTCTCAGCGCTGGTTCGGCTTTTTTGTTCAAAAATTCATATCCCATTAGATAGATATCTAGGTAGATTAGATAGGTATGCATTAAAAGAAATCTTAGGATTTCTCAACGTTAGTTTATAATTTAAATGGTTACTTAGATAAAGAAGCCGGGGATTGTGTTGGTAGGTAGTGTGAGATACACAAAGAACAATCACGCTGCTTTAGAACTTAGTCGAGCTATATAAAGTCATAGAGTAGGAAAGCCCTCACTAGCCATGAAAGGGGCAGTATTGCTTGCTTTTAAGTAGCTCTTAGGTTGTATACTTATTACCTCTAGCAATCTCTCAAATTACAACTAAACATTCTTCACTAGGTTCCCTTAAACAACGATCAATTAGTCTTTACACAACTCGGCTTATATAGACTCTCGATAAACAACGAAGTGTTGCCCGTCTCGGGATAGAGGCAAACTTGAAACATGCAGTAGGAGGGCGAGGCTCTACACTCAGGTGCAGGCTGTGCAGTTTGTTTGGGCTCGATGAGCCTTGTTCTTGATAGATTCGACGCACTTTGTCAATGTGCAGACGTAGTAATGATACACAGCAGTACTAGCTGGTGGGGTGTAAGCGAAGTTCGGGAAGAGGAAAGGTAAGTCCATTAAGGGCGCTTGGCCGGCTGGCTATCTAGCTATCCTGCCCGTTTCTTCCGGTCACATAGGGCGTGTCTGAAGGAGATCAGTGTTAGTATATGCTCACTCCCGTAGTCAGGCAATGCACTCATGCAAGTGTATTTTGAACATACCTCATTGTCTGGCGGATAATCTCGTATGTCCTCTGGAGACCCAAGGAGAATGACGGCCCGAAGCAGTTCGATGATCTCTCGTGGCCGAGTCGATACAAATGATAGACCGAGAGGGAGATGATGAAGAAGGATGAATTATTTGCTGAGGTCCATGGGATTTATAGCCCATGGACTAGGGCTAGCAAACAACAAACAAGGCCTGAAACCTAAGTCAGATATTGCCTGCCAACAAATGGGAAAAAGAAGTGATAAGTAACTAATAGCGTCTTTCCTTCCGTAGCTGGTACACTTCCTATGATAGTGGCCTAGTGAGCCTCATCGTGTCGCGCATAGGGTAACCTATCTCCAGCCCAGGACTCAGTGACTTATCACAGCCTCCTCACTCCTGAAATCCCTCAGGGCTTTGTACTATAAAACAGGCGTCATAAATGTGTATGCTGTGCAATTGATAATGTTTGGACAGTACTCGAAAGCCTCGAATGAAGTATTCCGTTTCATGCATTGTTTTTTCTACCTCTGTTTTGCCCTTCGTCGCGTGCTTCGGGTTAATCATGTATATTGCATCAAGGTGTGATGACCTATGACTGTATGAGCTACTTTGGTATCGTTAGCGGAATTTATGAGCTTGTGGCGGCAACCAGCCTGATTTCCTTGGAATTTATAACATCGATTGAACCTAGGTTGTGTATTCTCTTTCATTGTTTTCTTAACAATTTATTAGCGGTATTCTTGGGGTCAGGGTCTTTGATGTGGCCTCTTTCCTTTGCTGCGTACTTGGTTTCCATACCCAATAGGAGCTTGTATAAACAGACCAATCGGCACCACAAAAAAGACCGCCCTGCCCCCATGGCCTGTGCTTTAGAATCGCCAAATGACTGCCAAGTAAATGCGCAAAGGGCTCTTCGCTTAAAAATCGAGTCACGTCGAGTCGTTCTCATTTCGGTAATTTCGGTGCGATTGACACCCCGGTCGATCACTAACGACAAAGCAGTATCCATGCTGCGAGGCCGCTAAACCAAAATGAACAAAAGACGATCAGCCAGATCTCGGAGCAAAGAAGGAAATGAAGATCAGCGGTGATTTACAACGAACATTTGCGATCCGCGAAGGTATTTTTGGATCAACGATGCACACTTAGTCTCCTTAGGTCTCGTGCATCTTTACCCCCTAACGGCTCGGAGGTATGTACATGTACTGTACCTGGATGTCTACTCCGTAGACATGCGAGGGCAAGAAAAAGCAAAGACATCAACAGATCCCACAGACCCTCAGGACTAAGTTACTGTACTGTACTCTCCCCGAACTAACACTAACAAGAACACGTAGGAACAAGTCCACCCATCCTCCAAACTAAGCAAGGTAACCAGAGAAACTAAAACCAAAGCCAAACCCGAAACTTCCGCTCCTCGCCTATTTGGCGCGTGGTCTAGCAAGGCGAAGTCGAACATAAACTCAACAGTCGGCTCCGAAAGCCCCAGCGCCCGTTCCCAATACCAAGACGCGAGCCTTTCCCTTAACCGCTTCTTTTCACGAAAAAAACGGGGCGTCTGCATACCATTTTGGACCCCACTCATACCGATACCAGCCTGGGCAGTCCAAGTCTAAGCACAAGCACAATGCCAAGGACAAGGCAAATCTCACCCTGGTACCCGTTTTCTAACTGCTTATACTGCAGGGCCTAGTCTACCGAGGGCGTGGGTGCTAGTGGCGCCTTTTTCGAGGCTTTGGGCATTGTCGATATTCCAGCCTTTCCCGCTTACGGTAAGGCTGTTCGGCTATGGGTCTTGTGGCTTTGGGGGGTGAGATGACGGGGCTATTGAAGGCATTTTGCTTGGGGACGGGTTGGTGGACTTGGGATTTTGAGGATCGACGGCCGGGGTCCTTTTTTGGACGCCGGTGGGTTAGTACGTTATATACACGCTTTTCCTGAAATGGAGTGGATCTTAGCTTGGTGTGAGAGGTGTTGTTGGGGGGTTCTTAGGGCTCAGGGGTTACAAGCTTTGGTGTTTGCAATATTGTACGTTTCCAGGGTTTCATTTTCAGCCTCAGCTGTAGTGTGACTACAGTTTTATCTTTCCTATGTAGGACGGGTTCCAGGTCAGGTCGAGTCAGATCTGGGCTTGGAGTTTCGAGCCTTTTTAAGTGTTGAAACTTAGATCTAGGAAGCATACGATCGTGGAATCTGACTCCTATTTCCCCTATCTCACTCATTGGGAATGGTTCAAAATCAAACACATGTTTATTTTCTTTTGTTTTTTTTTCTCGGAATATGAAACAATAAATCCCGCTAGAAACATTGCATATACCGCAAATGTCCATCTTCATTCTTGATGCATGAACTTAAGTTCAACTCGTCACTGCAGATGTTTCCCTCCCCATCGTCAAGCCGCGCTTGTAAAATGGGCTCATTGTCTGGGCCATCCATTCGAAGAGCGACATCAGTGGCAGAATCGGAGAAATTCTCACAGCTCCATGTAAGTTTTCCTAATGATAGCCACGTTAGTGTTACAGGGATGGGAAGTAGAGTTTGTATGTAAAAAAATGCAACTCACCTTTCTTAGCCCCTAAGAAAGGATTGAGATCTAGTTCGGAGTATAATGCGTCCCCGGTCGGTCGTCGGCAGTAGGCAGTGAGGATGTGCTTGTCCTTCAGTCTAATATTCATAGATGATTTGTGGAAGGGCATATTGGCGTGTTGGGCTGTGAATGGCCTCTTTGGTTGCTTTGCTGGTTAGGCTCCAAGGCAGGGGCTGGCCCTCGAATGAAAAGATAGATGCAGAAACTATGCAGTCTAGTATGAAAATTCTATTATCCAGATGCCCAGAACGGTCTGGCGCAGTCCTGCATTGAGAGAGAAGAAAGAAAAGAAAATAGAAAAGAAAGTACAGAAACAGGACTGCAAGTGAAATGCTGAATACTGAGCGGACGGCAACTTTCCCCAGATGACATCGGTACGGTGTAGATGTCCGACCATTTAGAGCTATGGAGGCGGTGGCTCTGGCATCATGCTGTTCTCACCATGACACGTGGGGGAATATAGAGACTAGCACTGCATGGACTGCTTGCAGCATGTATCTTAGCTGCGGAAATATAACTCATTGTTAATGATAGGGCGTGTTCTTCTTGTTTATGGGGGTCATAGTGACCTCATGCAGGACTTCTGCAGAGTGCGCTGTCAGCCTCATCCAAATGCAAAGTATCGGGCGTTTAGACTTGGCAAGGGTCAGCAGCCGTCGGGTAATATGTATAATCAAAAAAAGAAGCCAAAAAAGAAAAGAACATATAGAAAGCTGAAACGGGGGTGAAGCGTGGCTTAGAAAAGAGAGTTGACGCTAACGATCTTTATTTGATGAAGTACAGTATATCCGCGGGACTCGGGGCAATATAGACTCCTTCCCGTCGATCCTAGTTAGTGTCTTTAGTTCTTGATTAGTTCGATGTATCGATGTAGAACAGACTTTGGGTCTATTTTGAGATCCCCGGTCAAAATTTTTCTGGGCTATACCTGTCCAAAGTCTTTTAGAGTGCTCGGTACAGACAGCCGTCTGAAGGTGATGCAGAAGGCCATTGCAGATGACCGCCCAAGATTAGGCTCCTCGAACCCAGTGGAGTGGTACATACATCTGTAGTCCCTTGACGATCTCGTGCGCCCCACCGTCTTGAATGACCTCTTCTTGGCGTAATAGAGTTGCTTAGTCTGCCGCAGCCCATGGGCAGTGCTGAAGGTCTCGATGGCTCTAATCCAAAAAGGCTTGTCTCTTGATCTTCGATCCACGGTTTTTATCTGGGGAGAGATAATCTCGGCCATCCGGGGAAGACGCATATAGGGAGTCAATTATGTATAGTCATTATGGTTGGGGCATTCGTATTGGTAGGGAAAATATTCCTTAGTGTACCAGAAGACTAGGTACCCCTGGGTTCGGAACAATAGAAGCTAGAGAGCGGACTACAGTATACCTGCATGCACCCCGTCCACTCCCATGAAAAGACGAAGAAAAAGGCCGAGAGAGGAATAGGGGATAAAGTAGTGAAGTCAGTACTTTTGGCCGCTAAGCCTATTTGGGGGCCATGTCGCGAGAAGCGAGACTCACTGCCGCTGATTGGCCCTTCTCTCTGTCTGCAGTCTCCCTTCTTACTTACTTACTTCATACTAGTTCTCAGTTCTTAGTTGTTAGTCCATAACTCAATGTTATTCCATTGTTCTTACAGTGGTCCCTTATTATTGTTGTCCCGAACAATTCCGGGCCCGTTCCGGACGGGTTTGCCCGACTTGATTACTTGACTGGAATGGAAAGCAATCTCACAGGAGGCCTGAGATCCTGTGCGAGTGTGGTGCCACGTGTGTAGTAAGGTTAGAATGTCAGAGTCCAGATCAGAAGGTAGCACACACCGACTTTAGACACATGTCTCCCCAGAAAACGTGGTCGATCGGTGCACAAGTCTGCAGCCTGCAGCCTTCAGGGGAGTCACACCTGAACTCCGACCCTCTACTCTACTTCTGGCTAGGGTGCATACTCCACGGGGGAACGCCTCCCACCTTTGTTCTGTGACTGCCCCCAGCCTGGACCCTGCAGTAATGTGCCTTGGGTCTTTGCAGACGAGAAAGGTGATCTCACTACTCTCTCTTCCCTGCATACCTCAGAATTTCGGCCGGTGTTCATTATCTTGTTTAGGCTTGACGTCGCACACCTCCCAATAGTCCATGAACATGGACATGGTTCCCCGTTCCAGTCCAGTGGTAGCTTAACCGGACCAGAACATGGGGATTCCGGGGGCCCAAATAGGCTCGCCACCAGGATATTGAGGACTTGTAATGTGGCGGCGATCCCGCGAGATTGGAGTGACCCCCTGGTTGCGAGTAAACCTTGCAATAGTAGCCGCCAATCCCCATGGCACAAGTGGTTAGCGACCCCCTGTCTCTCGAATCATACTGTCATGGATGTGAAGTTCTACATTCGGTTGTGATTACCGAGTTCAGAGCGTTTAATCTCCTTCTGACTCACGGGTAGAAACGGCGGACTTCCGCCTGTCAGTCTACGCTCCAATCTTAGCGAGCCGGTGGGTCGGGGGAGGTCCAGGATGGCACTGTGATTGACATGGAGACTTACCCAACAAGGTATAAGGTGCTGGCTTGACAGTTTCGACCCACTAGGGTCTTGAGATCGAGCCTTGTGAGGTCGATCGAACAGATTCGTTTCATAGTTTGGTCCCTAGTCTTGGCCAGAACTACTTTAGAAATGCGCGGGATAAGAATGAAAAGCAAAAAAGCAAAAATAGACTTGATCTACAAGGGAGTCCGCCCCTATTTTGCCTTTGCAACCCATAGTAAGTTATAGTTCATACGCTGCATCCATGGTTATTCACACTGTATAGAAATAAAGGGTTCTTACACAGCCTAGGGCTGTAATAGCTCAGCCTCCATACCGATCAGAGACTCCCCAGAAAGTCTGGGAGCCCAAGACGAGCCTAAGCCTATCGAGGCAGCTGTATAAGAATTCTCCACACAGGCCCCCCGGTCTGAGACCCAGCTGAACCGGTGCTATCCTGGACGGCTAATCTTCTTCATAATATTCTATAATATTCGATATTTTATTGTTTTATAATATTTTTTATTTCTTTTTCTCTTTCTACTCTTTTGGTAATTTATTTTATTAATTTCTTTAGCTTACCCCCTGCACCCAGAGGCTCAAAATCTCGATGGATTCAGCATTATTCTCTTATAAGTGAGATTGATCATATCTGCGCCTGACCTCTCTCTCTTTTACAAGGCTTCTTCCCGACCTCTTTCTTCTATACCTACTCAATATACCTCAACTATCTCGACAATTTCACCTATCTGAACTATTCGGTTTGGGCTTTTTCGGAGATCGGGAGCCCTGCACCTCGTATTCTCCACGTGCTTAATCCGACATTCCTCACGGTTATTTTTGGACCCCCGAGAGATCGACTATAAACATCTGTTGCGGCTCATATCACTCGCTTTCCCCTGTTCTCATTCAACAGCCTTTCTGTCCGACAACTCAAGTCTACAGGGCATACGTGCCCACTACCTGATCTCAACCATTCCCTCTAATCACTTCCGGAGTCAACCCTGACTCCAATCTAATCCCACACCTTTTTCAACCCTTCTAACACGCCAAAATGGTCGGTCCAGGCGGCGGTCCCCCGCGCAAGAGTCACACCAAATCTCGCAACGGCTGCAAAACCTGTAAGAGGCGACATATTCGCTGCGACGAGACTTTCCCGCAATGGTACGTTCAAATCCACAGATCTCCAAATGCGCAGCTAACGGATTTCCTTTAGTCGCAATTGCACCAAGCACAACTGCCGCTGCGACTACCAGGATGTTGTCGGCGCTCAAGGCAGTCCCCCCACACCACGACGGGGTCCGGACCTGCTCATGTCGCCCGATATTGAGGCCGAAATCGAGAACTGGCATCGTACCGGCGTGCCGCCTTATCCAGAGCTCCTGCAGTGTCCCCGTTCGGGATGGTCTGGTCTGTCGCGTGCGGATCTGCGCTTGATTCATCATATTATTGGGCTTTCGATTGATTTGCATCGGAGAGGGTTGAGTGGTTGTACTGTTTGGGCGCAGAAGATGCCTAAGTAAGTTTCTACGGTGTGTCGGGAGTTCATTTGCTTACCTTTTCTAGTTTTCTTGCTATTGCGCTGTCTAGCGACTTTGTTATGAGCTCTATCCTTGGCTTCTCGGCTTTCCATCTTTCCTTCTTGACCGGAGACCAGGATACGAAGCAGTTAGCTTATCGTCATAAGGTTACTGCCCTTCAGGGCTTGCAGAGTGCTCTTGGGTCGTTCTCCAAGGATAACTGTGATGCTATTCTCGCGGCGTCTATTCTTCTTTCATGGCAGGCGACAGAACAGTGAGTTTTACTCTGAATTCCCAATAATGTCAGCAATTAACGTGAACAGCTCAAGTTGGATGTCCTTACAACATGGCATCTCAAGTGTCCTCGAGTCTATGCATCCGTATTGGAAGCAGGAGTCAGATCTGGCACAGTTCGTAGACAGTCAACGCGCACTGAGCACAACAGATCTCGGGATGGCAACTGGCTACCAACCTCTCGATGAAGACATGGCCCATCTCGACCAAACCATCAACGGCCTCCAGATGATCCAAAAACGAGTCACTCACAAACTGGAGCACACCCAAAGGCTCGGTGAACTGATCGAATTCGTCCAACAATTCCGCGACGACTTCCCAAGTCAAACCTCCGAACAAACCTTTGACCGTATCCAGATCCTGCGCCGCTGGCTCTTCTGGCTACCACCCTCCATGCTCCGAGGCAGCGACTCGGACCTCAACGCCCTCCCAATCCTCGCCCAGTTCTTTGCTGTCGGCGTCTCCCTCGACCGCTTCCTTCCCGAGATGGGAGGCGCATATCTAGGCGCTCTATCCATCGGCCCAATCGAGGAAATCTACCGCATCATCATCGCACATAGCGCAACGGATCCATTCAACGCTGAATTGCGACTTTCCCTGGGCCTGATGGATATCCCGCGACGCATCGTCGCCCACTATCGCAGCCGCCTTCCTTGGTCTCCTCGCTCCTCTATTGACCAATACTCCCCCGGCCCGCCTAGTCCATATCACCACAACCTGACCGAATACCCCCTCGTCGCATCTTCCTCTCCTGCATCAGCTTCTCCCTCTTACGCCGCATATACCCCGCCCCTACAGTCCCCTCCAGCTGTCACAGTCGCCAGCTCCCCTTACAACCTCCCAGATGGCTATATCACTGCTCCACCCTCGCATTCTCATTCCCTGTACCCGCCCTCGCCACAACTCCTGGATACGAATGATGCACACCTCGCCCTTGATTTGGGCCATCCGCACACTGCCATCCCGAATGCCTCGACATATACGCCACCATATGGTGGGGAGTTGCATTGCTCTGATTTACCTCGTGCTGATGGCACGCTTGGTTTGAACATGGAGGTCTATCCGCAGACGCATCCCTTTGAAATGCCCAGTTTGGTTGCGCCACTTTGGACATCATGAGGACTATACATGGTTCGATTATGAGATGATGCCATTATACCCGAAAAAAAACAATAAGAAAGAAAAGTGCCCAAAAAAAGGAAGATTTCGATGGCCTTCCATGAGTGGAAAGGAGATGGTTGTTTTGGTTCTGGCTACTGGGTACCAGGAGAGAATGAATGACTAGGACAGTCTTCGTCTCTAAACAATTGGGCTACGGCACGGAGTTGGGTTCCTGGGACCCTGGGTAAACTTTTCGGATTCATATCACTCCACTCTTGTCATTTCTGTCTGTCGTGCATGAGCATTAGTGTGGTCTGGTTCTGTTTCGAGTGTTTTACTTTTTGGTCTAATCTTCAGTTACAAGCTGGATGGAATGACTGCGTGAATCTTTTTCCTTTTTTTTTTTTTAATATTGATGTATATACCCCGATTTCCTCGAATATCTTGTTAGAATTGCTTGAAGTGTTCTATTTTACTTCTGTGCCAACTACCCTATATCTCTAATTATCCATTCCAGAACGATACATAGTATGATCATGTCAGAAATGGGTACCAAAGCACACAATACACAGTCACAATGTACCTCGGCAGAATCAAACCACTATGAATCACGGACTTTATTATCTCCCGACAGCTGAATATGAGCCGCAATCAATCTAAACATAGCAGCGCCAACCCTCTCTCTACCCACCTACCCTCCGTATCAAAAAGAACACGAGAAAACCCCTATACAATCTACCCCCAGCACTCTATCCAGCCCTAAACTTGATATTCCAATCACCGATCGGCAGGGACAAACGCAACCCCACAAACCGACCTGAGTCCCATACCTAAGAATAGAACAATCAATCAAACGAACTACATTAAGGGATATAAACTACAGATCTGAGCCTCTCATTGGATATTCGTGGCCCGCACTCTCTTCAGACCTCGTATTCGGCTGCGTTTTAGGCTAGATGGGGTATTATGTTCCCGGGCTAAGGCGGATAGAGGTATAGCCTCAAGCCTAATTGATGGATCGGAGATGGCGAAGTACAGAATTTAATTACTTCATCTTCACTCTATGCTTATTGGATTCTCTGTTGATTAAGATCGGCGTTTCCTTTATCTCGGTTGGTGTGTATGTACTATATGGAAATGCGGTTAATAATCGTCTCCTGTCTATATTTATCCTTTGTTCTTTCTTTTGCTGCATGCTTCACATGGAGCCTCTCGCTGCCCTTGCGCTATCTTATGGGTATTTGGCTATTGGGGACTAAGCTTGTGCATGGTGTTTGCGTCTTAGATGACCCTTCCGTAGGGGCTTACTTTTGCTCTAATTAATACCGGTGAAGTATGCTTCGTCGTTTTATAGAAATATGCTGCTTCTGGTAATGATCTTCTTACTATTCTTGTCGTCTGTATAGGAATTCTTCAGCTGTTAGCTCCTTTCCTGGATCGCTTCTAAACTTACGCTGGCAAAGACTTGCAACTTTTGAAAGCCTACTTAACTTAGTCAACAAGATAACAGAGATCTTATGGGGGACAGATCTACTGACTCTTTTTATCTCCAGTAAGGTGAGAGGGGTAATGACTGATTATTGTTCACTCCAATTCACTACACGACATCAAGCGACCATCCATGTCTGGGAATAGAAATGCGGAATGTGGAAGAAGTTCATGATCGAGTCATGGTTATACGTCTTGATATTCAAACGTACCACTCATATGCACATTCTATCTCTACTGTATTATTTCATTTTCTGGTTTTGAGAAGAACACAGTGCTATGCCCTGCTCTGAGCTCCATACAAGAAGCGACACGTGACAAACAAACTCATGATCATGTGACAATGACATAACCGCTTTCCGTTTTGGGGAACAAAGCAACGCTTGATTCTCAAGCTCGAGCACAACCACTCGTCACTCCTAATCAACCAGTCTACACGGCACAACAGACATTTAAAATGAGCGACGCTGCTGGCTGGAGCACAATCGAGTCAGACGAGGTACGATCTCTCTAACAATCGTCGGAACCAGATTACTGACACATGCCAGGGCCTTTTCACCTCGCTGATCGAGACCTTGGGAGTAAAGGACACCCAATTTGAGGAGCTCATCTCCCTCGACCCGGATACAATCAGGTCCCTCGGGTAAGCATCACCTCCCCTTCAAGTCCCAAAATCCCGACCCAATCCGTACAACACCAACACCACACCCAAGACCAAGACCGAGAACCTCATCAAAAGCTAACCCCACCCAGCCCCGTCTACGGCGTAATCTTCCTCTTCAAATGGACCCGCGAAGCAGCAGGCGCCCGTGCCGAAGCCCCCTAGACGGCGAATACGACCAAACAGCAACAGACAACAACCTCTTCTTCGCAGCGCAGACAATCCAAAACGCCTGCGGCACCCAAGCCATCCTCTCCGTAATCCTAAACCACGACAACCCCCAAGCTGGACAACCAGCGATAACTCTCGGGCCCGAACTATCCAGTTTCAAAGAATTCACAACAGGCTTCCCGCCCGAACTCCGAGGGGAGGCGCTCTCAAACTCAGAAGCCATCCGCACAGCACACAACAGCTTTGCGCGTGCTAGCCCGTTCGCGGATGAAACCGCCCGTCCGCAGGACGACGAGAAGGGCGCGGACGCTTACCATTTCATTGCGTATACGCCTGTTAATGGGAAGTTGTATGAGCTTGATGGGTTGCAGCCTCATCCTATTAGTCATGGGGCGTGTGATGCGGGGTCTTTTCCTGAGAAGGTGATTGAGGTTCTTCAGCGGAGAATTGCGCGGTATCCGGCTGGGGAGACGCATTTCAATCTTATGGCTGTTGTAAGGGATCCGAGGGTTTCGGCGAGGGAGATTGGGGATGTGGAGACGCTTGAGAGGGAGGAGAGGAAGAGGGCTGCGTGGCAGTGGGAGAATACGCTGCGAAGACATAACTTTGTTGGCTTTATTGGGGAGATGATGAAGGGGGTTGTTGGGATGAAGGATAAGAAGGATCCTGAGGGGAAGGCTTATGGGGAGTGGGTTGAGAACGCGAAGAAGGAGACGAGGAAGAAGCTTGAGATGCAGCGTTAGATGCTCTTCTCTTCTTGTACTTGTGGTTGTTCTTCTTTGTCCTTGAGCTTTTCTACGTCGGCATTTCAGATACCCTTGGCGAAGCAGGACGATGATAATGGTCGATACGAAACAAAGATCTGGTATGGTATTCGATGATGATGTTGAAACCCCAACGCTAGAGTGTAGTACATACATAGGTGTGATAAATCACCGAAATCGACGCAGTGCTATGTACTGGCGTCCACATCGTAACTCGTAATGATAATGTGCAAGGGACATTCTCCGTCCCGTTCCTGAATATAAATCATTATTCTCCCCCGGATTAAGAGCCAAAATGACAGCCACTCAATGCTCCACAAGGCGCGACTTGATATGTTCAACCATAGGCGCAGGCAGATCCTCCGCCTTGACCAAGCCCAGCGCCAGCAGGTCAGACCAGAAGAACATAATTCGGTCCTGGGCGTAAGCCAGATAATCGAAATCTCCTTCTTCGTCGATGTCCGCGTCAACAGGCGGCGTCTTCTCGCTGTGTCCGTTGCCGCTGCTGTTGCTGTTGCCGTTACCGTTACCCTCGTGCTGTCCGTTCTCGCTGTGCCCATTGGCAGCTGCCATCTCCGCGATACCTTCTTCCATGCCGGGCACCTTGGCCTGCACAATACCCCATGCAACCCACTGCGCTGAGTTCATGACCCGCCACAGTCGAGTCTGCTGCATGAGGAAGCGCACCTCCCTATCCAACTCTTCGTCGTTGGACTTTTCAATCTGTGAGAATTGGGAGCTGGGCCCATCGGCTCCCTCGTCGAGGTCTAGAGGTATGATGCCCGTTGCGGTGCGACCGCGGATGTTGGGTGTGGCCAGGGGAGAGACGGTCCCGCCGCCGACGGCGGGTCGGTGGGTAAGGTAGGTCGATACGAACTGGTATTGCTGGTCTGGGGTTGGGTAGGCGCGAGTGTTGCAGGCCCAGGAGCGTTCTTCGTCATGGTAATTGTAGCACCACTCGGTCTGCTGCAGTTAGATCTAGGGGCTTGCTTCTTTGTTGCTGACATCGGGGACTCACAAAGTGGTTGGCGAATTCCAGGCCAGGGGTATTGGCGGAGGAGTATTCGAAGTCGATGACAACGAGCTGCTTGTGTTCATTTGCAGGCAAGAGCAGAGGCGACTGTGTGGCCGGCTCCATGCGAAGAAGATTGCCATACTGGGTCTAGGGACGAGTCAATACAACATCTCACAATATCCACGAAGAGAACTTACATCATTGTGCGCGAATACCAACTGACGCTTGATCTCAGCAATTCCACCAGACTCGGCAACTAACCAAAGTCGGTAATTATCCACGGCTTTGCGGAACATGTCCCACGTCACACCGCAGACAAAGCCGCGACGACGCCATGGCTCAGATGCGGCTTTGGCCTCATTCTGCGGAGACTGGATTTCCTTGTCGAGCCAGGTGGTCACTTGCTCGCAACGATCCACCCACTTGTCCCAGTTCTTGAAAATCATGGGTCCGCCTTCGCGTTCTTCTTCGAGGAGTTCAATACCCTCGTGCAACTCTCTCATCCGCTTGGCAATCTGCTTTGCCGTTTCGGGAATGCGCAGTTCTTGGGGTGTAAGAGGACGGGCCTCGAAGTACTCTTCAAATCGACCATTCAAGAATGTGCCTAGAACGCGAGGACCGATGTTCTTCCGGCCAAGGCGGCGGAGGATCTGTAGCTCCTTCTCTCGATCGATCAGATGATCCACCTGCGGGCCATAGATTCGGAGCAGAAGCTTCCTACAATGCCGATTAGCTAGGGGTTCAAAATAGGGGAGATGTCGATGCTTACGGTGGGGGTTTCCTGGACACTAAAGTAGACTTGCTGTCCGTTTTGGGGGAGGCAGGTTCTTGGGTGGTGCAACTACATACACGGCGTTCGTGAGAGCACCGCTAAGTCGAACCACCTCAATATCGCCAGCCAGATCCGCCGGGACTTTGCGCCAGCCTTTAAGTTGCAGCGTATGTACAATGCGCACGATCTCAGTCTTGAAAATCATCCAGCCCTCTCGGTCCTTGGCAGCCTTGACATTGGCATTGGCATCGGTATCCTCTTCTACTGCAGCACCACCGGTGTAGGCAAGTGTCTTGGAGTTGTCCAAGTAGGCTTCCACGCCTGGCACGGGTGCCTCGACATCTGTGGCTTCTGAGTCGGAGGCGGAACCTCTTTGCAGGCCCTTATGGCGACGCCGACTTTGGCGTTTGACCGACGCATTCGAGCCGATGGCACTGCTGGGCCGGTTGGTCGCATACTGAAGGAGGATCTTCTCCAGTTTATCCAAGGAGAAGGTGCTTTCGGAGGGGTTGGAGTTAGGTCTTTCTATGGGACCGTCCTCGGCGGGTGAATCGCTTGTCGCATTGGAGGAGACTGCTTCGGATTTCCGTGCCTTACGATTCTGTCGTCTGGCTTTCTCATGGTGTAACCATTCGTATACTTGGTGGAAGAGACCCTGGGTATCTTCTTCGGGCCTGTATTGCTCTCTAACCTCTTGGGTCATTGCATCGTTGACGCTCGAAGGGCCATCGAGAGAAGGCATGGAGGAGGTGGGGTGTTGCGCAATGGGCTGGGACATGGAAGCCCGATACTGTTTCAGAGAAGTGCTGTCTGGGGAATCGACCGTCCCACTTGCGTGTAAGGCCTTGGTCAAAGAGCGGAGATCCAAGCCTGTTCCCGAAATAGACGATTCTGTGGGAATTAGTATTTGGATTGACAGACGATTCGAGGTGCTGCTGGGGGCAAGAGATGTCGAGTCGCGATGGAGACAGAATTACAAGCCAGGGGACGTGTGGTTATATGGGACGAGGACGAGATAGTGGATTCCTAACTACAAAGCGGGCAAAGAGATGGAGCCTACCTGTTAATTCGGGACCAGGACCACTGTCTTCGGTGAATGACGGCATGTCTCCACGCGAGCCAAGAAAGGGGGTGGATAGCTTATCGGCAGGCACGCGACCAGTTTGAACTGCACTTCCAGGCGAAAAGAATGCCCAAACCCGCGTAGAAACGAGAAACTTGGGAACAGAAAGGAGGCAAGGTGGGGGATAAATTGGACCCCTAGAAACAGTTTGATAAGCGAACGGAAATGGATGTGGGTACGGAGGACTGGTCCCTTGGATTGCAACCCAACTGCAGTGGAACCTGGGAAGATGAGCTGGAACTGATTCAATTAACAGAATACATGTAGGGAGTACTGTAACGTTATCGTAAACTCGAAGTTCAAGGAGACGTTTGGACAAAATAAAAAGTGGCGAAAAATTGGCAGTTATCACTCAGGTGACTGAGATGCCTTGCGGATCTGGCAGCCGTCTCCATATCTGGGCAAAACAGCCAGGGATCTCCGATTCGGCAAGAGGTCACACCATCACACCACTAATTGTTTGATAAGTTATCTTTGCCGGGCTAGTAGTAGCGGATCCTTCACACCGCAAACTTCGTCTCTTGCTTGGGCTGGCATCTCGTACATGTCGCGGCAGATGGCAGATGGCTTTCACTGTAGCATGTGGGGAGCGGGCTGTATCGGCGCCAAAGGAAGCTTTCGTTCGGGCTCTCGCTGGAGAGTTTGGGGGCGTTCGTCAAGTCTCATTTTGACGACCCGGGATGTACCCTGGAAAGTTGCCGATGTCAAGTCTTGGATTGTTAAGTCAAAGAGAAGAAAAGAAAAGAGGATGAGGGGAGATGAGAGATGAGGGGAGCACGAGGTAAGTTACCGTATTGGGTGGTATTTGTTTGCCTCCGATATTAGGCTACATATCCATGTCAAATATTAACTTAACTATCTTATGAATACTGCGTGAGACCGGATCTATAATGATCCGATGCAGGCATCATTATGCAATTAGAATGGACCCATAGGGGTAATCGAATGCAGAGTTCTTGACATTTCTAATTGGTCGAAGACAGCACTGGAATTGACAACCTAACGTTATAACTTAGTTATACTCTCACCCTCTCTTGAGTTATAGCCATTTGTTTTCTTGATCCTACTTTCCATATTGCCTCTCATGAATTTATCAAATCTATCAAATGCCACAACATTAATTACTGCAACCATCACTCCCGACGCCATTATCTCAAGATGATGTTTACTTCCGAAACCTCAAGGGATGTCAGGAATTCGAGCCGACATTTTCTTGACTTGGGGGGAAGAAAGAAAATAATGATCCTAATGCTGATGGGTGGAAATACTGCTAAAAGCTACATAATAGGAAAATGTTGCTTTGCAGACGAGAAGCAATATTTCGAATAGACTGTAGTTCTATTTTCACCCATTGGCAACTCCGCGTATCTTAAAATGATCCTCTTCGGCGGGTAACCAGCTCTCTGAAAAGCACACAGCTGGTCATCGATATGGTGAGATCGGCAACGCCTTGCTTGATTTGCCGCCGTAAAGCAGTCAGAGAGCGTGAGTGCCACACCAAAGCTTCTTCGTGATAGCCATGGCGCACAATTTGCTCGATTATTGAGAAGGGATAATAGTTTTGAATCGCAAATGGGTGGCCTCTCGTATAGCGCACTAAGTGAGATGACTGCATCCCATACTGCAGGCTCCAACCGGCAGATCTGCAACATGGATCCGCTCCAGGAGGTTAAGATCTAACGCACCGGCAAGGGCGGGCCCTGCTCGATGTAAGTAATAATTGAATGCACGGCGCTCGCGCTGTCCAGAATGAGATAACGGAGGCGAAATGACCAATGCTGGGCGGAGAGACACGGTGCTGTAAGCACACTGTCGACCTGTGCTAGTGCACCTTACGCAGTGTGGTTTCTCCTCTCCACACCGGATGCGACGAATTCGAATTCTGAACGATTGTCAGCTCTATCTTCTCGGGAATGGCCCTCAATGAAAACTTGGTTGCTCACGCGTAAGACTAAACTGACTTGCAAGTATTGCATCCTGTTTTTGATTTCCTGCTCCCAATCCGACCGGTCCCTCGGGATGGAGACACGACCAAAACCTCCCTCGAGTCACCATTTTAGGACATTCAATGTGAGTGTGGAGAGTCAGCTCCCCGTCGCGGTGCATGGAGTTCTGCAGACCAAAAGGGGCCCGAACAGCGAATCAGAACGGCGCGAGTCGTAATCACATTGACGCCTCAGGCACAACTCATGACCCTTAGACCTCTGGGATTGACGTGCAACGCTTTTCACAGTTGCAAGAACTTGAGCAATGTCGCCTAATATTGCGTGGACTATACTTGTGGGCATATTTCCACTATTCGTGATCTATCTGTGGAAAATTGTCACATACTACAGAACCAAGCAATATGCACACCTACCCCAGCTTCCACCATCATTAGTATGGGGTCATTTGGCCACTGTCGGTAAAATCAGGAACAATCACAGGCCGAATGTTCACGTCGGTAGGACTAAACGTTTCTTTAATCTGGCAGCATGGGTTTAACTGGCAACTAGATGAACTCTTCCAAGACATGCACGACCAACTCGGCAACCCTCCTCTATTTATTGCCGATTTCCGACCAATTACCTATGTTATGTGTATTGTCTGCAATCACGAGGTCGCAGAGCAGATTTCGAAAAGCTCAAAACTTTTCCAGTACAGTACTCCAAAGTCACCCACCATCCGGTGGTTCCAAGATTTGTTCGGAGCAAGCTCGATTCTTGTTGCAGAAGTAAGTTGAGGCATTCGGCGAAGAGATACACGATCTAACCATTATATAGAATGAAGAATGGAAATGTCTACGCAAGCGATTCAATCCAGGATTCTCGCACAAGCATCTCATGAGTCTGATGCCCTGTATCCTCGACAAGACCCAGCTTTTCCTAGAACGCCTGGACCATTACGCCACCACTGGAGAGGAATTCTCACTTGACGATCTATGTACAAACTTGACTTTTGACATTATCGGTGAATACTTCTTGCTGTCCCCTCACAGATATGTCCACTAACCTTGTCTACAGGCGCGGTCACCATGGATACTAACATGGATGCTCAACTCGAAGAAGAATACCAAGGCGAGTTGGTTCGACTTTACCGTGAACTGGGCTACAGCTATCGCCATAATAATGGTAGATGGAAGTTATTGCTTCCCTTCCAGAGACGTGCTATGGGACGTCGGCTTGATAGGCTTCTCAAAGCGATTATTACGGAGAAATTTGAGGAAGGATCCAATCCCGACAAGTTATCTCGCAGCGTTCTCGCTCTCAGTCTCGCAGAACATCCTAAATTGACGCCAGAGATTCTGACCCAGACCTGTGACCAACTTAAGACTTTCTTATTTGCTGGCCATGATACAACCAGTATCGTGTTGCAATGGTCATTTTATCAACTGAGTCGGACTCCCCGGGTTCTACGCCTCGTTTGTCTCGAATTGGATGAAATATTTGGAACCGATAGCTCGCCATCTGTTGTTCGGGGCAATATTTTGGAACGTGGAGAGGAGCTACTCCAGAAGCTGACCTACACTTCTGCCGTGATAAAGGAGATCCTTCGTTTGTTCCCACCAGCTGCCACGGCACGTTCGTCACCTCCAAACACCGGAATGACCGTTCAGTTACCAAATGGTGAAGGACTGTGCCTGGATGGTACAATTTTATATACCTGTCATAGTATCATACAGCGTGATAAGAGCGTGTATGGTGACGAAAGCAACGAATTTATCCCCGAGCGCTGGCTGGGAGGAGTAAAAGACAGCGCCCCCATCCCCCCGAGTGCATGGCGTCCTTTCGAGCGAGGACCACGCAACTGCATTGGGCAGGAGCTTGCAAACATTGAGGCACTGGTCATTCTCGCGTGTGCGGTACGCCGGTATGATTGGGAGAAGGTAGGGCTTGGAGCCTTCAAATGTGATGATTCGGGTGCACCAATTATGAAAGCAAACGGGCAGTACGATGTCCATTCAGAGCTGTACAGTGTAAGTGCTTGGAAGTTTCTGGATGTGGTAGCTATGTGCTGATAACATTTAGACATTGGAGATCACTGCGAAGCCCGTTGACGGAACGAAGATGCGTGTTAGGTTCGCCCCAACGGTATAAGCTGAGATGGATTCGCAAACTGAGATGGATCCGCAAGCCCGTACGTATGGAGTAGCCCACATAATTACAACAGGGGTTATAATTGTTCACCATTTATTCGCCCTTCTTTGGCTTCTCTTTTTACATCTTCCTTTTTGTCCATGTTCGACTACCTCGGGTTCATCGTATAGATTATATAAGTTGGGGGTGTGAAAGGCTCTGTTGCATATTGTAGATCGCTGTTGAATAATGAACTTATTTAAGGAGAGGCATTGCTACTGGAGCTAGAAAAACAATGTGAGAAATAAGCTAGACAGGGCTCTTCAGCATCCATAGAGACTCTCTTAAGCACGCCATCAACCATTTTGCCTCTTCAAGCACCCGCGTCCGTTTTTCATGTTGCTTTCTATCTTCCCCCTTCGACTCAGTGAGAGCATCCTCTCGAAGATCCTGATAAATGCTGAGAGCGTCAAATGTTTTATGGCGTGCCTAGCCATCCCTCTGGACAGCACTCGACAGGCAGTTGAAAAAGTCCTGGACTTCATTCCATCCTTCTCCTTCTAAGTATTCTTCTTCTCCTCTTTGGAAAAATGAACTGGACACAGTTCCTCAATGCCTAGTCCTTTCCAAGCCCTCAGGCAATGATTCATGATTAGCTTGAGATCCGTCAGTTTGGAGGGGACATTCTTGGATTAAGTACTTTTCCGCTTTCATAAGACACTCCCGGAAGGGCATGATCTCGTTATTCCAAGTGTTCCCAGAGTGTAGCAGAAGCCAATGTTGTAGTTTTCCGTACTCCAGACAGAGTACATCGCTAAGTGTCGGATGCATTTCACCCCGTCCTTATCAAGTGTAGCTATAGCAATAATGATCTGGAAATCTGGTTTTTGATCTCATCCTGCCGCTCAGAATCAAGCTCGTCAAATTTTTCTGGGCGTTCGAGCACCATTTCTGGTAGTCAATGACTGGAGATATTGAGAAAGAATGGCCCAGACCATATCCCTTGACAATCTATAAGTGATGTAATCCGGTCGCCTTTCACAAAGATATTCGGGAAACGGAGGTCCGTATACCATAATGTAGAGTTAGTCAAGGGCTTGGAAAGAGCCACAAGATATGGTGCCAGCTTCATATATCTTTCTAAGAGATCGATGTACGCTTCTCGGCTGGTTTGCGTTTCTTGGACTTCATCAAACCGTATAGGAGATTTGAATAGCTATGGAGTGGCATATCGGTTGAGCCACTCGATTTCGCGGCGGGCAATACTTCACGCGTAGACTTTTGGGTTTGACCCTGGAGGGGATTAGCATGTATTGTTTTATATGATAATGTAAAGCGCACAAGGTCCTTGGGAGCTATCCATGTGGGCAGGCTCCTCTTTCCAAAACTGGATGTCGACTACGGGATTTATAGTGAATTTCACCTTAACTTGCTTTCTCAATCCAGCTGACATGTCGCTAGTGATCTGTGCCGATACTGCATCACTCACTGCATCACTCGCAAAGTAGATACAACCGTAGCTAATGGCCATGTTAGATAGCATTTCCTGTTGAGCATTGGTTCTCGTAGACCCGAACATATCGTGAGAACGAGATAGACAGCATTTTTGTCTCGACAGCAACAATCTCATTCACAGTCTTGACTTTCTGGTCAGGCTACATGTCATCCCTAACCATTGCAAGCTGTGCCCTTGTGGCTTCTTCCATGACAATATTCTCTGAGCCCACAGGATTATCAGAATTGGCATTCCATTGCAGTACTCAGGGAACAGGAATCCCAAGCACAGTTTGCACCTGTAATTTCTGCCAGTCCCTGTTTATTTAAGAGCACAGATTTATTGTGGCAACCTCGGAGGCAGTTGTATAGAATGCAGGCCCAGCGTTCGGGTTCGCGATCGGTGCCAGAGCTGTCTTGCCGTCATCATGAGTAGACGAGACACATTGTTCGAGTTGCCTCTGCCAGTTTTTCCATTAAAGCAAAAAAAAAAAAAAAAAAAAAAAAAAAAAAAAAAAAAACTGACCCCACAGCCTTGGCACAGACGGCTTGTAGCTCGGGGACATTGAAGGCACTATACCTCTCCCGTAGCTGTTTCTGCTCATCCCAAAGCCACCGTCCAGTAGTGTAACGAAAGAAATGCTCATAATCAAAATATTCGGGTAGCTTCTTCTAGATGTAAACGTCTGTTTCGCAAGAAGAAAATTGCCTATTTGAGACGTGGATGGTCGTTGATGTTGGGAGTGTTTGGAGAAAGGGGCTCGGCCATGTTTGCGATATTGGGATTCTGCGAGGCTTCACGTTTCGCAGTATTCGATGACTCAAGCAACAGAGCTGGTTTACGTTCAATCTCATCTTGGGTGGCTGTCAGGTCCATTGTTTGTGGGCAGTTTATGTTGTTATCTCAAGTAGGGGTTGGCGGGGAAGCGCGTTCTTTGCCCTGTGCGACTCAGCTCGGATATCAACACATTTATGAGCGCATAAAGACATTGGATTCTTTGTATCATAAACACTATCCCTTATAGTTATTTTATTTCTTCTAGATTTTGTTGTAGATCCCTAAATGCTAAGAATTCGTATACAACAAGAGCATCTCTGCATGGGTTCAACGGTACTTAATACTTAGCGAGGCATCACGGCTCAATTATTGCAACGACTACAGCTATCTAAAGCGGTAGGCCTTTGGCAACAACTTCAAATTCCTATTTCATAGTGGAGAAAATCAGTCTTCGGCAGCCATATATATCTGGCTTTTAGAGGACGTCCTAATCGAATAGAAGTCAATTTTACACAATATACATATTGAACAGGCGAACAACAATGTTTCCAAAATTATCCCTACTTGAAAGGACAGGCGAGATAAAAACTTACGTACAAAAAGTTGCGGCGACTCCGAGGTGGCTTCTCACTTCGGTCAGCTGTTCTTGGTTTCTTTTCTGGAAATATGTACACAGAGGTCGCTTTGTCTTCTAAAACAAAGCGACCTCTTAAATCAAGGACACTTCAAGTATTCTATAATCTACCAAGCTACTAAGCTACTAAGCTAGTATAGGTCATTCGCGGTTTGTGGCGGCAACTATCGATAAAGAGCTAAACTAACTTATATAAACAACAACATTGTCGATCAAACATGATAGTCGAGTATTCAACAACAAGTATCATTTTAATTTTAAATAGACAACATAAACAGATAATTTGCTCTACACCGCTCAGCTCGCAGTGCAGCTGAGTATAGATCTCGTGAGCAAGTATACGAGAACTGCGACATTGGCCACCCCAGAGATCTGCATAGCCAAGCCCGGATCAGTCACACCTCACCGACCGCTCTCTCACGCCAAGCAGACAAAATTTAATCTGAGTCGATGTGGAGAGGCTGAGTGAAACATCGTCACTTAAATCTTGCAGACTGGGGTTTAGTAGCCGCAGCTAAATTTAGGGCCTGTTTCGTCAGTGGCAGCCGTATGATTCCGGCTCCTTATAAAAGAGACCCTGATTGTGCTTCCAATTCCTCCAAATACAAACAAATAGTTCTCTACTTTCCAATAACTACTATTTATTACCCTCACCTCAAAGTCCAAAATGAAGTTCACCATCCCCATCCTCGCTTCCCTCGTGGCAACCAGCACCGCCCTCTTCGACAAGAACCAGCGTATGAACATCCCAACCACCATACCAATCCCAACCAACTAACCAACTAAATCTGACTTCTAGCGTGGGGCAAGCGCGACTACTCCTGCGTTAACGTCTACCAAGGCATCCCCGATAACTCAACCGTCTCTCCAGGCCAAACCGTCCACGTCCGCTTCGATCGCAAGCCCACTGGGCGCTGCCCGGATCCGTTGAACCAATACCCCGGCGACGACTACAGTGTCTGGCTGTACAACAATCCAGTCCGCGTGCCGAACGCTGTGAACTTCGATCAGTCGATTAAGATCGCTACTGGTATTAAGGAGAAGGCGGGTGCTGTGCATGTTACTATCCCTAAGAATTTGCCTCAGGTTAAGGATGGCTCTGTTTGGTATTTGAGACTTGGGACTAGTTTGTCTACTGCTCCTCAGGTAAGCTTTCTTTGTTTTTTCTGCTTGGTTCCCCTTGTTGTGGTTGTACCGTATTATTTGGGGCTGGATTTGCTTCTCTTTTGGTTGATTGATGCTAATTACATACTGCAGATGCCCACTTTGTTCAACGCTGCTGGACCGTTTACTATTACCAAGGCTTAGGTGCATCCGCTATTTGAGGTTGAGTTTGATTTAAAATAATATGTGACCCTTACTATTCTTAGCATATTATATAGAAATAGCATGCTTGGCATTACTGCATCAACCGGACAGTTGAATCTAACGCAATCTAATCAACTTATAGTCGGCGGTGTACTGTACTGTGACCAGCTGTCAAAATATTCAAAAAATTCCACTGTATTTTCATTTTAGCTTCCAGCCTCTCGGAGGATCAACCACTATAGTAATAGACAAGAACTTAAAATCGATTCCTTGGCCATCCAGTCTCAGACAAAATGGCCATGCAATTTGCCGTAATGACATCAGACCAAACCCCAGTTTAATCACGATATGAAACACTAAAGACCTTATAGCCACCAGCCCCACTCTTACGCCCCTGAGTGTTGATATCGACATAATGTCCCTGATCAAGGTGTTGAATGGAATGGCCGCGACCATTTCCATTGAATGAGAATCGCACCTTGACGGCATTTGCGCTTTCGTTCTTAGGCAACATGGCATTATTCGCTCCAAGCCATCTGCCATCCAGAGCGCTGGACATGGTAAAGACCTGGCTCTCCTGGTCTTGGGTGTAATGGATGACCCACCGCTGTGACTTGGCATTGTGCTGGGAGGTTGCTGGGCTGGTGATGAGGGATTTGCCGTTACCTGGGTTTGTGAGGGCTTCTCCATCTTTCTCGAAGACTAGATAGCGACCTTCTGTTAGGTAACCGACTACCTCTTTGTATCCTTCTTCGAACCAGAGGCCGTTGGTATCGGTTGCATTGTCCTGCTCGCCGTATGGGACTGGAGGTCGGGTTTGGGAGTGACGGGATTGGCAGTTCGAGGTACCGGTGTAGCCTCCCTTGGAATTGGTGTCTGGCGTCTGTGCATCGGGCAGCTTGGGAAGGGAGTAATCCGGGTTCTCGAAGTCGAGGGCGTTGACCAGATTGGACATATGTTCACGTCGCCAAGACACCATCTGGTCAGTTTGGATGTTTTTGTAGCCTCGGGCTGTTAGCCATTCCTCAACGAACAAGATCTGGGAGTTGTGGTCTGCTCGCTCAGTAAACACACGGTTTCCTCGTGTCCATGGAGAGATCATATAGAAAGGAACCCGGAACCCAGGCCCTGAGAAAATATCGGAGAACAGACCCAAAGGATCTTTCATCCATTCTCCTGGTGTGTTCGCAGGGGAATGGAATGGAGTGACATGGTCACCGAAGCCACCAGTTTCGTCATAGCTGACCATCAGGAGGGTGGAGTTGTACTTGGGGCTATTGGTAACCGCATCAACGACCTTCTTCTGCAGCCAAGCTCCATCTTTCGGCATGTAGGGCGGGTGCTCTGACAACTCGGCAGGGCCAACAATGAAACTGACCTCAGGCAATGTTCCATTGGCAGCTCGCTGATAGAATGCGTCGAGGCTCACAAATGACATGCCTTTCTGGTTGAGAGGGCTGTTCTTTGAGGCATTTTGGAACTGCTGGAACCAAGCCAAAGGATTGTCGTCAAAGTTGTTTGTATCTTGGAATAGCTGCCAAGAAACACCTGCTTCTTCGTAGAATTCATATACGGTCTTCCACTTGAGCGGATAGCAGTTGATACCATGATCGTCACAACCTGGAAGTTGAGTCAGATGGCAATACTTCAGAGCTATCAAAATAGAGAAGCAGGTGATACGTACCTGGTACCTCATTGTTGTCAATGTACACACCACCCTGGTCCTTGGTCTGAGGACTACCAGGCACATTGATAGAGCCGCTAACGAGGGTAACCCGATTAGGGTTTGTGGCAGTGATTTGACTCTCCTGGCCTTATCAGCCTCAGCAACTCAAGTCATTCCTGATCTGATCTCGTACCTGGTACATGTCTCCCGAAGTCCAACCTTCAGCAATGGCAAACTGAACTGGAATATCCTGACGTTTGAGATGTCCCCAGCTCCAGGGTGTATTCTTGGTCACCCAGTGGTTGTTGGAGCCGTTGTTCAGAGAACCCTGATTCTCCTGGTACCCATTGCTACCAGCTACCATGCACTGAATGGCGTCACTCCAGTCACCGCCCTTATGACCCAGATACCAAGGAAGCAAGGTCTTGGTATCATTGGACTGGCTGGGATCGACAACTCTGGCGACTGTTAGAAGCATTCTGGTTGATATTGTATCCGGACTTACTGGTGCCAAACTGAGTTCCCATCTGGGTTGACCTGAATATTTGGATCATTGAAGCCACGGACTCCAGCCATGGTACCGAAGTACTGGAGATATGGAGTGAGCAAGATGGAACTGTTCAGTATGACAGGGGAACTTACACTGTCCCACGAACGGTTTTCCTGCATGAAGAGGACTACGTGCTCAATGTCTTTCAACGATCCAGCCGTCACAGTGCTGCTTCCTAGCAGCACTGCTAGAGTTATACCTCCAAGTAACTTGGAAGTCATAATGGATATTGAAGAAGTGATGTGTCGTAAGAAGGAAGGAGAAACCGACTACTATATGTACCTATGCCCCCACAAGAAGTGAGGCCCCGCTATACCAGACCTCGGAGCTCTCTGCTCTCCAGATGAAAGGTTGCATGAGCTCCATGGTACTATAGCTCGAAAAGGAAGCACGATCGAAAGTCTGCGATCAGAGCGCAGGGATGGGCTGGCATTCCTGGAGTGTCGATCATAGCGTGCATAAGCGATGTATCAGGGCTCGTGCGTAGAACTATAGAAGAAACACCGAAATCGTAAACATTTGACGTTATAGCGGGATGTACCTGGTGATCGGCCAATGTGATCTGGTTGGGGCTCCACGTGAAGAATTCACCCACGGGTGTGGCAACGCTAAAGCGAAGTATACTTGCGGCAAGAACAGCGACTGTTTACTTCGGGCATAGTCTCTTTTTTTCATGGATGACCGCCATAATTGAGGGTATTCTGATTGATTGCTTCAGTGCACGTGGGTTGCATGTCTTTCTGCAAGGTCGCAGTCTTGATTCAGATGTGCATTCCCCTTCCCAGCAAGGGCGGCATGAGGCATGAGATCACTTCCCGGAGTTATCGGTACTCTGTGTTCTATCTGCAACACCCGTGGCGCTCTAGTTGCTTCTACTGTATTTGAAAGCCAGAGGTAGGGCACTAGAGCAGTCGGTGGACTGTCCGCACTCACCCTGAGCAACCTCGAACTCAACAGATGCCTAATCAAGCCCGGCCATGGCCGATCGTGACCTGGTCATTGGTCGCATGTTTCCTAATCGGGCTTGCATACCTACTCCAATCAACTCAGTTCTCATCTATGCCTTTGATCCTGATTGGAAAGCACCAACACCTCCAAAAAGACCAGGAAATCGCAACGCGCCCAAGAATCGAACTCCACCCGGAGGATCATGTGTACCGAGCGCCGGTGACACAGTATCTGGACTGGCATATTACAGTAGACCATCGCAGACCGGATGGTGTACTGAAGCGGGTCTATCTGATCAATGGTGAGTGCGCAGTTGGGGTGAAGTTGTGTTTGTGGGCTGACCGGAGGATATTGAATTAGACCTGTTTCCTGGCCCGACGGTTGAGGCCCGCTCTGGTGATACCTTGATCATCACTGTTGAGAATGAGCTGCTAGATGAGTCGGTTACGCTTCACTGGCATGGCCTTCATGTTGCCAGTATGTACTTGCAGTATCGGAACTTGAAGTTTTAGAGCTGACCCTCTCAGATTCTATGGACGGGGCTGCCGGAGTTTCCCAATGCCCCATTTCTCCCGGGAGTCGATTTGTATACAATTTGACTATTCCATCCGATCAAAGTGGTACTTTTTGGTATCATGCTCATTCGGGGGTCTCGCGAGCTGATGGCATTTATGGTGGACTAATTGTTCATGCGCCAGCTTCAAAATCGACTGTTCGAGGCTTGATGGCTCAGAAAGAGTATAATGATCAGCCATACACTTATGAAAAAGAGCTTCTGCTTCTCATCGGCGACTGGTATCATCGGCCTGCAAGTGACGTTCTTGAGTGGTACATGGACCCTGGGAACTTTGGGAACGAGGTATGGCCTGGTAGTTATATCAAGCGTAATGTGTCATTGAGTCACTAATGATCAAGCCTACTAGCCCATCCCTGATTCTCTACTCATCAATGGAGTGGGACGCTTCGACTGCAGCATGGCTGTTCCTGCCCTGCCGCTGGATTGCACTAAGGGTATGAACTGGTCAATCATGGACCTCGTTCCTGATATGACATATAGAATACGTGTTGTAAATACTGGGTATGTACTTCTATTTTCAAAAAAAAAAAAAAAAAAAAAAAAAAAAAAGGAAAGAATCGGTTAACCATTTCTAGCGCACTTGCTGGGTTCACTCTCTCCTTCAGCCATCACGTACTGGATCTTATGCAGGTGGATAGTATTGATGTACAGCGTCTGCGTCAGCGAAATGCCAATTCTGTTGGAATCCTGTATCCCGGACAGCGCATGGATTTTATCCTTCCGCCGTCGTCGCAGAGCACCAACAAGCAGTCATATATGACGGTTCAATTAGATCAAGAGTATGTACATTTAGCACAAACACCATGAAGTTTCTGCTAACAACTAATCAGCTGCTTCAAGTACACCAGTCCAGCATTGACCCCTGATCAAACATTCCCAATTAATCATCATCCAACTTCCACTTTCAATACCAGCTCCCAGCCACCGGTGGTTATCAACCATGTCAACATCCAAGAAGTACCATCCGCACCCTCGATTCTAAACTCACTTCCACCAACAGCAGAACAAACACACGTCATCTACACTAAGATCCAAAAGATGGCCCGCTACTCCAACAAACCATTCGGCTATATCAACCAAACAACCTGGAAACCACAACAGCATCCACCAGCACCGCTGACCACTTTACCTCGTACAAAATGGGATAAGAACCAATTGACAATTACTACAGGACCGGACTCAGTATGGATCGACCTAGTAATCAACAACCTAGACGAAGGATCCCATCCATTCCACCTGGTATGAAAAGAATATTCTCCTTGCTCTCCCATCCGACAAAATAAACACACCAGCACAATCTAACAAACAATACTGAAGCATGGCCACCACTTCTATATCCTAGCAACATATCAAGCAAGCTCCGGCTGGGGCTCCTACAACCCCTTCACAGATAAATCACCACCACACGCAGGTTCAGACCTGGAAAGGGATTCACCTTCATCTGCATCCTTATCCCGTGGCCACCCAGACCAAGCCACAGAAGACGAAAACAACACAGGCTCAACCCCAAACATTTCCAGCCCGTACGTCCTCTCCCGGGCTGCACTACGTGACACGGTCAACATCCCGAGTCGCGGGTATGCCGTGCTCCGATTCCGGGCCGAAAATGTTGGGGTTTGGCTTTTACATTGTCATGTTCTTTGGCATTCTGTTACCGGGATGGCTATGTTGATTGATGTTGGAAATGGAAGGGAGTTGGGAGCTGGTGGTGGTGATGGTGATGGGGTGGTCTGTTCTGATTCCCCAGTGTTGGGGTAACAGGGGCTACCCACTGCTCCCTACTAAATAAGGGCCACTCTAGGTAGCTAGGTTGCTAGGTTAGTTTCTGGGATTGCTACCAACCGTTTAATAGCAATATTACAAGGTAACGATCAGCCCAAATGAAACTCTTTTTCAGTATAGGCTATAAGAATTCAGGCAGTCAATAAGACCAATAAAAGATATGATTCAGGAACAACCTCTAACACAACCAAAAGCACTTTTAGCGAAGATGCCATAGATTCATGGAAGCCTCACGCGACCTACAGCAACTACATCAACGTCTATAAGCCGCCGTTTAGAACATTGCCGGGCCGAGATCGCTGTACACTCATCGTAACAAGATCTTGGTTCGTTCGTGAGTCTGGATTTCCTCTCTATTTGATAGACAGTTCTCTGAATCTGGTATACTACAGGCCCTGTCATCAGGAACGGACCCAATTCAATCACTCAGGCGCCTTCACAGAGCACCTTAATAGACAACATACCTTCAATGCCACGATTTTGACTTCGTTTTTGCTAATATATGCCGTATATTGCATGGCGATGAAGCAAGGCTCCCAAAAGATCCAAAGTTCTACGGGAGCACTTGGAATTTCGGAGGGTCTAGTTATCTTCACAGATAGAGAAAAGCGTAGAAAGAGCAAGGCACCGAATCATGAGCTCTTTGTTTCCTCGAAATTCGATAAATGATTTCTCCCCTGTCATCAAACAAACCTTTCACGTGCACTTGTAAAGGCCAGTGAAGTGCATCGATCCGAGTCTCCTTTAGATGTACAACAGCTATATTGCTGTTATAGGGTTTATCAAGATAACAAATACTCTGCTATACCGTCACGAGGCTTAATATATAGGCCGATACAATTATTTTGCTTCTTTTTGGGAAAAGCCTGGATTTGAGGGCGCTCATAGATCTCAGTAACGAGTTCCTAGATAGCATCCATATATTCTCTAATGACGCGAGTGCAGAGGATTTACCTAAGCCAAGGTAAACAGAGAAAAGGGTGGATCTGTTCGTGACATACTAATAATAAAGAAAAATACCTAGGTTCAAGTACACACGTTCGCATATTCTGTGCAGAGCGAACGACTCATAACGCCAGTAGCGAGCCAAATGAGAGAAAACGAGAGGTATTACAAAAATGTGCAGTGAGACGGCTGTCATATATCAAGCCCCGAGGAAACCAGAAAGGAAGACCAGCTTCGCCCTTCAGGATAGGATACAAAGAGAGAGAAAAAGAGAGAACGAGGAATTTACGTAGATGCAGTAGCCCACTCGACAACTTCCAAAGCGCACATGACGAGGACGAGGGTGGATGGGAGGATCCTATAGAGAGGAAGTAGGTTAGCAGTCATGTCATGAAGAATGAGCAGGGAAGAAAGCCCCTGCACTGGAACTGAACTGAACTTACCAGACAACATAGCTCTGGAAGAGAAGCTTCGACATAGCCCCAACATAAACGTTATTAATCTGGCAGATTTGCGCCAATTGCAACGCCGACGGCGCGCCAGTAAGCAAGAAGCAGACGATAACGAAGATCGGATCGTCGAGGATACTAATCGGCACAAACTTAGCCGTAAGCGCCAAAAGCGGTGCCATGATAATAGTCGGCATCAGCATGCGCGCCACCAACGAAGCGATAATCAACTTGCGCTCTTCGCGAGGATGTTCCATATCCTCAAGCGCCTCATCGGGCAGAGTGTTCCGCGCCAAGTTCGCGCCCAGCACGACCAATATAAGTGGCACGGCGACCTGTCCATTCTGATCGATTGCACGGGTTACCGAGTTACGGACAAAGGTGCCGTCGTCGAAGAAAAGTCGTTGCAGGGCGGGTACCGAGGCGACAATTATTGAGACTAGCATTGCCCAGAGAGGCGGGTTCATGAAATCCCATAAGCCATTGACGAAGCGGCGGGCGCCGCGGCTGGTTGATGAGAGACCTTTTTGGAGTTTGGGTGGGAGGCGTGCTTGGAGCGCGTTTGTCTTCTTCTCCCACCAACGCCCATGGCGATCTCGGGATTTGCGCAGAGATGACTTCCAGCGCTGGACACGGGTTTGCTCTGCCTCTTGAGCTTCCCGGGCTGTGATTTCTACGTCGGGGAATTGCAGGATGTCGCCCCGGGAGCTTTGGCGCGGAAGGAAGGGGCCGGTTGGTGGTGGTCCGATTACGGATGGGGAATCATCCGAGTCTGGGCCGTCGGAGTGGGTGGAGGAGAGTTTGGAGTAGGAATATGCACGTGTTGACACGGGCGTTTGGTCTCCGGATTGGAAGTCGCGTGGGGTGTGGGCGTGTTGCACATGGTGTAGATCGTCTGAGCTCTGCGTCCGGACGAGCGGTTCGTCTGGGTCTGTTTGGGCGGGGTTGTCGGTGTAGCGCGCCTGGCCCTGTTCAATGACTGAGTTATCTGTCACTTCGCGCTCTGTTTCCTCCAGGTATCGGTCCTTGGGGGCCAGGAGAATGTGGTATCCCCAGCTCCAGCGCACGAGTTGGCCCAGTTGTTGGAAGATAAGGAGATAGAGGATTCCACGCGCGGCGACTTCGTCATCGTTGTCATTTGGAATCCGGTCCCAGTGGAGGCCTTTCAAAGTTGCTGAGAGCGATACCACGAGGGAGATGGGGAGGGAGTTCGAATTGCCGAAGACCTATTGGGATCCTTATCAGTAACGCGTCTCGTATGATGTCACAAATCACATACCGCCATGGCAGCCACAAAATTGGACTGGCGTTTCTTGAAGCCACAACATTTTGTAACGACCCAGGAACAGAAGTATGACACGAAGGTCTGGACGACGAAGATGACAGGGATGATAGCCAGGTCCGTCAGCTTCTCGGCGGTCAATTGTGAGCCCAATTTTGTGAAAACTGTAACTGTCAGCTTTGCCGATCACAAAACCTATCTCCTTTTCGGGGAGAGCTTCAGGAGCGGCTTCCATACTAAGACAAGGAGTGAACAGAGTCACGTTAAGGTTCGCCACGAGCTTCTGGGCATCGGCATCAAACATGCCGTGGCGGGCGGCGATATAGCCAGGCAGACTGACACAGACAACTTCCAGCACGGCCTCAAAGACGAGCAGCACTAAATGAAAGAACGAGGGGTGGCTGGAATGGGCGCCTTCCGGGAAGAAGCCGCTGGTGCCCATCGGGGCTTGAATGGCATTGACATTCTGGAATGACCGCGGTAAGTTAAAGATGGCCATGAGTTGGAAGTATCACAATTGTCCTTGAGTGAGAGGACGGGGAGTTGTAGAAAGGAAGAAAGAAGAAAGGTTGACGACATTCCTGGCAGGGATCTTGGCAATCTCGCCCACGTTGATAGTTCCTTGGATAGAGCTCCCTCTCCACAGTGGCTGTGATCGGGCATTGTTATTCCGACGGTCTGACATATGAATGGCGCAATACACGGCAAGTGGTATATACTACAACATCTAGCTTTTGTGCTACAGTGTCTTGAAACACACATACTAAATATACATCACAGTCAAGGATTGTTTCAAGAGTGCAAGAGATAAGTGACGCGAGCGGCAAAATGCCAAGGGTGGTCAGTGCTTTGATAACGGGTCTGCAGCCAATAATTAACAAAAAGTTGTATAGTTACAAGTTTGTACAGAGTACTGGTAGAATTTATAAATTAAGCTAGTTTTGACCGTGCTGTCCAGCAAGGGTATAATACAATGGTCTCAGCAGGCCTCTAAAAAGAGTGCAGGGCTGTGCAACATTCACGCATCAACAAAGCCCAACTTCTCGCCTACTTTGATGCGCTGTCCCTTCTCGATATTCCACTTCCATCCATCAGTCGGAGTATCATCCGGCCAGCCGGCATCCACTGACTTGCGAGTACCCAGAGGAGCCTCAAACACAAGAACGATCGAGCTGCCTAGCTGGAATCCGCCCATTTCTTCGCCGCGCTGCAGCGGATGTCCGCCAAGAGTCCGGCTGGCATGGCGGTAGGTCGCTTCAACAAAACCGGGATACTGCTCACCTCGCTTCAATGCCAAGGCTGCTGCTAAGTCCGCCGCGGTGTCGGTCAACAGGCTGTTAGTGCGCAGCTCCGAATCAAAGTTGATTTTGATGGAGCCCACGTTGGTGGCTCCGACCGGTGTGTAACTAAAGAATCCCCATCGCCACCGGCCAAGGAGGGCAACGCGCTCATTGAGGGTGAACAGACCGGGAAGGTGCTTTTGCAGGTATGGCGAAACGGAGTATAACTCGCCGGCGAAGTGGCGACGGCTTTCGACCACCCATGGAGCTGGGGAATGGAAGCGGTGGTAGTCTCCCGGGGCCAGGTAGATCACAACGTAGAACAAGGCGTGGTTGGCTGCGGTTTGCGGCGCATACCAGGGGTTCCGTCACCGCGGGCCAGTTCCTCTTGCACTTGGATTTCTGATGTCGCCTTGGATGTTGTAGAGGCGTCCATGGAGGCACGTCGCTTAGGGGCTTCTGATTCGCCAGACAACAAGCTCGGAAGCGTGTAGGAGATGCCGTTCATGCGAGCAAACTCCTCATGCGCAGCCATATTCTCCGAATCCTTTTGTGTTTCCTCGGTGTCCTTGTCCATGAGTCGCTTCGTGTGGTCGGCGTGCGCAGGTGTGGCCGAACCCAGGAGAGCATCCAGACTATAGGTCATTCCCTTCACTTGTTCGACTTCACCCCGCTCAATCATTCCAAATTGCAAAATGCGACCATCGGACGGTGCCAGAAGTGCTCGTGGGTCAGGGTCTAGAGGTCGAACGCCAGGCTTCAATTTGCGGTAGAAAAAGGCAGCCAAGTTGGGGTAGGTGTGCAGGTCGGGCTCGGCAACTTCTTCAAGGTTGACGCCAAAGGCCCAGGAGTATAATTTGAATCCAGGAACGCGGAAGTAATAGGGGAGTTCGATTTCGTTGAACTGACCCCAGAGCCGCGACATGGCCTTCAGGGGCAGTGTGGACATGATCTGGACATGCCATGGACCGGACGGCACAATCCTCGGCCGACGTGGTGGTTTTTTGCTTTCGTCCCATTCATCTCCAGCGGCATCACGGGCCACGCGATCGCGCTCCGCGCGCTGTGACTTGTAGAAATGCAGCAATCCAAGCAGGCCAATACCGAGTCCGACCGGTATTGGATACCATTCGACCTTGGTGTTTCGTAGGGCGAATCGTAGTCGGGAACCAAATCCACCTCTGTTGTTTTCGGGGTTATTGTCCTTTTGATATCTCCATGATGTGGATGAAAAATGCCTAAGACTGGCTTTGTGGCGGGCTGTAGCCCGGAACGAGAATACCTCCATGGCCCCTATGCCAGAAGACGGTAAAGAATAAAGGAGGCGCTTGGCCATGTTTCATACAGGCGAAGATCAACCTTCTGAGCGTTTTTTCCCGGGGGGAAAAGAAGCGTCGCCGATACACCGCCCGGGCAGAATGGCACATGGGCACGTGGAATATGATGTTTGTCGACTTCGTTGCTGTAGTTGCTCTTTCTGCTCAATTGGCGTTGTGGTATTTCGTTGCATCTTTTGTTGTCTTTCTCTCCTTCGTATCTCCCACCTCCTTTTCCCACGTCCCCAGCCATTCCTATTGAGCTTATCGCTTATCGATACTTTGATGCCAGATATCAAGATCAAGTCCAACTTTCTCTACTCCTTGCGCTTGGAGATTCGACACCCTCAGATCCCCTTTGTGTCGAGGGTTCCTCTCACGTCAATAACCGGAGACTCTCCTCTAGCAGGATTTCCTTCCACCCCTCACCCCTCCATTGGCGCAATCGCGGCTTCATACAACCGCAGCTCCGATAACACATATCATTCCCCACACCAGCTCCAAGAGATATCTTTCATAGCTTCTTTTGCCGCACCTTCCTTTCCCATCACTGGGTTGCACATACCTGCATTCACAGCTCCAGAAAGTCCGACGTTGAGCCCACTGCCTACCACCTACAATGGCGGACGCACCTTCTTCCTCCGGCGAGGGCGCAACCACAACCCTCAACATCCTCTGTCAGATTCTGCCTCCTCCTGGGCGATACACGATGGAGAATCTGCCTTTGACCACAACTGTAGGCCAGCTTCGGGCCCGCATTTCCGAGACCTTCCCCGGAAACCCTCATCCATCAACTCAACGACTCATCTACCAAGGCAAGGCACTCCTTGACGACAACGTCACTCTTGGAGGCTTTCTGCCGTCTACAAATGTAAGTCTGCTGATATTCTGATGCTTTTAATTGTTCTCCTCATTGACCAAACCGTCTTGCAGGACTCTACTCACGCCCTGCATCTCGTGCTGCCACCACCCGAACCAACTCACGCGCTAGCTTCTGGTGCCTCCCAGCCATCGTCACAAGCTGTCTCTGATCGCCTACGTCCACTTCAGGCAAGACCATTTGCTACGGGTACCCCGGGTTTATTCGGCAATTCTGCAGCGAATCCGAGTCCATTTGGGCCCAACCGTACAGCTGGCTCAAGCTTATTCGGACCCAACGCAGCTCATTCAAGTGGATTCGGATCCAATGCACCGGCTGGCTTGAGTCCATTCGGACCCAACACAGCTCAGCCAAGTGGATTCGGCCATGCACCAGCTGGCTCGAGTGTATTCGGACCCAACGCAGCTCACCCAGGTGGGTTCGGACCCAATCGCCCAACCGGTTCAGGTTTGTTCGGTCCCATCCCAGCTAATCCAAGTCCATTCGGACCGGGCATCACGGGTTTCGGACCTGCACGCACCAACGGAAATCCTTTTGGCTCACTCCACAACACTAACACTGGTGGGGGTTCCAAGGATTCCAGCCACAGCCCGCGGCAACGGATGACGACACCAACCTCCGTCTTGCTAACCTGCGAAGCCAAACCGAAGAGATCGAACGGCAGCTGGAGCGTGGTCTCCTAGCCTCCTCGATGCGGCATATCGTCAACGTTCGGACGGAACTTCTAGGAATCCAAGATGCCCAATTCAACAGACGGCGTCCGCTGCCAGAGGTTGGAGCATTGATTGCACGTGTCATGGACGCTTATACTCGTGTATGCCAACTGGAAAGCATGCAACTTCGGGAGAGAACATCAACGAGCAGCCATAGCCATGCCTCAGCCAATCTTGAAACCAATGCTCAAGGTCGCTGCATAGTCAATTCGTCGGTTTCCGAAAACCATAGCATCTTTATCATGACTGGGCCAGGTGGAAGCCCCCAGGTCATCCTGGCCCCAGGTGCACAGTTGGACGGAACAATTTATCTGCCAGGCGCACAGTTAGACGGAACAATTTACTCGCCACCTGCAGCAGCATCTGATGCACCCGTCCCTCCGCAACCTCCTCAGAACGCAGCAATAGTCGAGAACGTGTTCCGCCAGGGAATGCCGAACCAACAGAGACGCGGTAACAATATCGAACAAGCCGGCTTGGCCCGCCACATGAGTCGCATCTGGCTATTCGTACGTCTTTGGTTCGTCTGCTACTTAACTAGTGAGCCTGGCACCTGGAGACGCTACATCATGGTCGCCGTTTCTTTGTTGGTCACTCTCCTGTCAGAAACCGAGATCCCTCAGCAAATCCTGCGAGCAGTTATCACCCCTGCACAGCGTCATCTCGAGGCTTTGGCCCGTGTTGGTGGACCTGCAGACCCTGCCGCAACTGCCAACGACCCCCGTTTTCAGGCATTCAGTATGCGGGAGCAGCTACGCCGCATAGAGCGGTCTATTCTTCTCCTTTTGGCTAGTGTAGTCCCCGGTCTTGGTGAGCGGGAGGTCGAGGCACACTATGCGGCCGAGCGTGGCGCCGAGCTTCGGCGTCAGGAGCAGGAGCAGGCACAGGCCCAGGAGCAGCAAGCTCAAACTACGGAGGCCGAGGGCTCTGCCAACTCCGCTGCTCAACAGGAGGCTCCTGCGTCGCAGCCTGAGCCAACTCCCGCCCAGAATTAATTCTGTAGGGTTGGCTGTCCATATTAGCATTTTTTGTTTGTGTATTAGCGATAGCGTACTTTTCTGTCCTTGAGTACGGGCCATGTTTGACGCTTGTGTTGAAGTAAAACCACATATTCTTATCTACTTCCACTCTATCTGTAGTGTCGTATACAAACTATATTGCTAGGTTGTTGTAGAGCGATGTATAATGTGATGGTAAACGACCTGGCACTAGTCGTAGGTAAAGGTAAAGGTCTATATGCGTGGGTAGTTATAAGAGTTGACTTACTGAAGCGAAAAGCTTCCAATTCCTTCCTCTGTTTCCTATTCCATTCCCTTGCTGTATTTTCTTATTCTATTCTCCCTTTTCTGTCTCCCTACCTTAATGTTGCCCTAGTTCCAGGCCTATAAAATCCTCTCCTCTCCCAGGGGAGCGAAACCCTCGTTGAGGAGATGTTCCGCCTGACGGAAGACAAAGGAAGAAAGGCAGCCCTCGCCATCAGGTGCTGGGTGTCTCCTATTGTATCCGCAACAAGACTGGCCATGAACCCGACTTAAGCCAAGCCGATAATGACTGGGCCAGGTGGAAGCTCCAGGTCATCCTGACACCAGGCGCACAGTTGGATGGCTAGCTAAGAGGTACTTCAATCCTTTATCCGAGCTCGTGGACTGATACTTGATGAGCTTGTTATAAGAATGCGAGCTACTCTTGTTCTTCTTTCAATGTCTCAAGATATCCTCGAAATGCACATACATGCTTTCCTACTATGTCCGAAGAGGTGTCCAAGAATAGACACCAAATAGAAAAATCAACGAGACAGTTTGACTGCGCATGTTAAATTCAATCTTTACCCGGAACAAGACACCGTAATCAGTTCCAAAGACAAAGTCCAGATTTAACAACAGGCCGCGGCTGAGCATTCACAGCAGCGCTTGCACTATGATCATTCCCAAAATCCATACACTCATCCTCCAACGCTTGCAGACTCCCACATCGAACAATACCATTCTGAACAAGTTTCTCCAGGATCATCACCAACCATACACGACACGTAACTCCCGGTATACCATTGACATCCCCGTCATGCAATCGCATAATCTGATCAAGCTGAGCAAGGCTTGTGTCTGGAACGGAGGCGATTTGAATAAGCACGCAGAAGAAATTAGACTTGAGGACCGAGTTGGGACCGTGTTCGGGTATCCATCCTCCGGTCAGACTGGAGACGTGGTATTTTATGCCGCTTGTTGTACTCGTGTGTAGGTAGAAGCCCCAGTGGAAATCATTTGGGCGTGGGGGATCCGATCGGATCCACAGGCCTATGTATAGTGCGTAGAGTGGGAGACTTGTTAGTAGGTCGGATTGTTGTTTTCTGATAGCTGTTGCACGTTCCTTTGCTTCTGTGAGAGTGGGGGCCGACATTGTTTTGGGGATACGAGTATTTAAGTATTCTTGTGAGAAGTATTATTGGTTTATGATAGATCGAATAACTCAGCTGCGGGAGCCTTTTTGATGTCGTAGGTTCAAAGAGTAAGCGAGACGCACCTCTTAGACAGGGGAAGGGGTGCCAACACGTCGCTTATGCCACCTACATAGCCAACCATCGAGGCGATTATCGTCTTTGGTTATTCCCCTGACAAAGACATGATTGGTTAACAAGAAATATTATATAAACAGGAAACCAACCTTTTACATCGTCGTTATGTTAGGCGACTTATGTATAAAAGTAGAATATAACAAGCGTTGACCTATAGCTCATTCACAACTCTATACCACTCCTTAAGACATCAACCACCTTCTCCTGAAAGTCCATCGCCAAAGCCGGCCCTTCAGTCCCTCTAAAGTCACACTTCAAACAAGCAAGAACAGCCCGCGTATATCCAATCCCCATCTCCTTCGGTAGTCCCTGTGTCGCTAGCATCATCAGATCCTCAACAACCTTCGTCGGCCTAGGCAGTCGCCCATTAGACACCGCATCTCGAATCTTGGTCACCATCAACCGTGACAGCGTAACCCACAACCCAATCTCAAGCAGTACTACACCCAAAGCATAGATATCATGCAGATGACTAAACTGCTGTGTAGGACGGCCCTGTCGCCTTGGATGGCGGTAGAGATTAGGCTCGACCTCAAAGTCGGGGCGCATGTCTGTTCCTTGTTGGACGGAGCGCGCATAGCCCCAGTCGCTGAGGTATGAGACGATCTTCTTTCCGGTGGTTGGTGCAGAAAGACGATGCTCGTAAAGCCCCGAGGTACTGACTCCAGTGGGGGTCTCTAGGAATAGGAGGATGCCTCTGCTCCAGATGTTCTTGTGGACCCAGGCTGAGGCGTGGACATTTAAGATCGTTAGGGCGAGACTGTGTGCCATGCTGAACCGGTCGTTTAGGGAAGGCTTCTTCAGTGGGCGGTCGTTTGTGCTGTCGACTGCATTGATAAAGTCATGGAGTGTCGTTAGTGACGCTGGGGCTGTTGGTTCGGATGGAAGTTTGTAAAGGAAAACAGTTCGCTCTTCGACGGGTTGATCAATGAAGCCCAGACACTCCAGCGCATAAATCTTTGGCTGGTCAAGGAACTCGGATGATTTGCTGGAGAAAGTCGTGTTTTGGAGCAACCAGGCAAGATTTCGGATAGGTTTCTTCAGCTCTTCAATCTCATCTGGCTCCAGATTGTCTTGTTTGAGCATCCTCTCGTATTCGTGGTACTCGACAATTACTTGCGTCTCTTCCGATTCTGAAAGAGACCATTTCCCTAGTTTGAATCCTCCTGTTGACTTTCCTTCTTCAGTGACAGTTCCGGTCAAACTGCGATAGTTTGCTGGCGCTTTGGTCTCCGCCAGCATACGTCTCTTCATCACCGGTTCCAGGCCGCTACTTTTCAGTCCTTTATGATCGCCTTCGACCAGAATAGCCAAGGTTTCTTGCGACATGTGCAGCATGAGGTTGCGCAGGTCCTCTGACCACTTGGTATATGCTTCCAGAATGCGATTCAGCTTCTTCTTGTCGAAGAGCGACCAGTCGTACCCCTTGAGCTTTAGCGATTTGGCTTTGGTCTTTGCCCGCTCGAGCAGCGTCTCTTGCACTTTAGGCCTTTCCGGTTCAATGGTGTACTCCTCGTCCACAAGACCGTACTTGGCAGCCATAATCTCATACTCAGCCAGCGTCTTTCTCATCTGCACTAGTAGCCCTTCAACCGTTTCGGCGATGAAAGTATCCACCTTCCCTGGGATCATCAACCCATGTTCCGGATGAAAAAATGTACGTTTGAAAAAGAGAAGAGTCGATAGCTGGATATTCAGCTTGAGCCGGATCTCGGCCCGGTCATCGTCGAATGCCTTGACGTCGGAGATGACGCCCTGGATGAAGACAGTGACCTGGTACACTTGAGTGATGGCAGTTACTGCCGTGCCATAAAAGTCCATTTTGCAAACAAAGATAGATGAAGAGGAGAAGTGTCAGGAAATCGGACTTGGCGGGGATCAACAGTCAGCACTAAGAGTGGGATGGGTTAGGGCTAATTTTAGAGGCTGAACTACTGCACCTGCACACTCTGCTTATTGTATGCCGTTGGCTTTTACTTCATGACTCCCCTTCATTCTCCATTTTAATTTCATTGCCTTGTAAATCGAAGGAAAATGTCAGAATACGACGATATTCTCAACACCCTCGACGACAACTACTACTCCATAGACGGAGATGATCTCTCCCCCTCCATCCAACCCTGGTCCAACTCCACCGACATCGAAGAACTCGACCTTGAAAGCCTAAACCTATCCTCCGATTCATCATGGATCGACCCTCTAGAGTCCGCCATAACCGCAACCCGCAACGGTTCAGCTCCGGTCCTCAGCACTCTCTCCCAATTCACCACCATCCTCTCCCAAACGGGTATCCACGGCCCCCGTCTCCTGAAAGCAGTAAATCTCTCCGCCCGGGCGACCAAGATCGGCTCCGGTGCACAGTTCACCGTCTTCAAAGACCCCATCTTCGAAGGAGAAGTCATCAAACGGGTTAACGTCCCGCTATCAAGCCGAGCTGAACAACGTTTCGCAGCGAGCACGGACTATCGCCTCCAGCTGAAGACGTTGGAGCTTGAGCTTCTATCACTATGCAACCCAATTTTACGCGCGCATCCCAACATTACCAGTCTTCTAGCCTGGGGGTTCGATTTCCCCTTTGCGGATCTCGCTGTTCCTGTGTTGTTCATGGAAGCGGCGATCATGCCTTTGGGCGATTTTCTTCTCGCTGCTGAGCAAAGGGACGTGGGAGTGAGATATCAGCTTGCATTAGGTGTAGCGAATGGTTTGGAGGCCTTACACAATCTCAAGATTGTGCATGGAGATGTCAAGCCGGATAATGTGCTTGTCTTTGCCGGTCCGAGTGATAACATGCCTTTCCAGGCTAAGCTGAGTGATTTTGGGGTCTGTGTTGATCTAGAGGCTCCCGAGGGGAGATTTACATTGGATGATTACCGGGGGACGCCGGCTTGGTTAGCACCTGAGGTGTTGAATGGGGATGTCTCGAGATTTGGAGGGTTCTCGCCGGAGTTGATGTTCAGGTTTGACGCGTATAGCTTCGGGATGGTGCTATTGTCGATTTTTACAAAGGATGGAGATGCTCCAGTTCTGGATAGCGACTTCGACAAGAGCTCTGATCAGATCTCCACATCACTCAACGATCGGAAGGACATACCCTCCTCTATACGCAAACAACTGCGCAATGCAGTACTGAGCCTGCTATCCGAGGATCCTCGAGCCCGACCACTTCCAAGTTCAGCTCTTCTCAAAACAGATACGCCAGCATACGCATCTTGGTATGTTCATTCCTCCTTGCCTCGGTTCATTCGCTAACCTATGATTCCAGGCTTTCCTCAATCCAATCAAACTCTACGACGACCCATGTTGGCATCATTGACCCAATCTACAACAAAGGCCCGCTCTTCTGGTACCGACTGGACGAGAGCATCCGCATAGAGCTCGAAGAACAACACGCGCTCAGCAAGGAAGGCAATGCACCTCCATTTGCAGGGGATGTTCTCTTTGGAATAGCACAAACAATCACCGGACAGAAGCCAGCGTATCTTGATCGTATGCTGGGCTATCTAGGCGACGCAGCAAAAGCGGGTCACTCGCCTGCTCGGGCTGTGTATATGCAGATTATGGAAGCACATGGACAAACACTGGAGTTTACTCAGGATGTCTTGGATGAGTGGATGCTGCAGGCTGTTTCTGAAGGGTATTTCTTTGCGAAACCTGGCCGGCTTGTCAAGCGGGTGGAAGAGGCGAAAGACCAGTTTAGGATTCATGGGGGATTCTGTTCAGATGCATTCTTGGGGAAGAACGATGTTAAAGCTGCAATTGCCGGGAACAAGGTGTTAGAATGGAAGTCGAAGAGAGGAGATGTCGTTGACCGCAAAGGCAACACGATACTGCATGCTGCTGCTGCTTTTGGGTCTGTTGATGCGGTGCAGAGCTTACTGGATGCGCAAATGGAAGTGGACATGGAGAATGAGAATTCCGAGACGCCATTGTACAAGGCGTTCCAGGCAGGCCATGCGAAAGTGATAGAGGTCCTGCTTGACCATGGAGCAAGTGCATCCTGTACAACCCGGCAGAAGATCACTCCTCTGCATTGGCTGTTTATGGTTCCCGAAGCTTCAATCCACCAAATTGCAAAGCGGATGGCTGAGAAAGGAGCAGATGTGAACGCGGTCATGGAGCCTGTGATCAAGGAGAATAGCGGTGGATTCCCAGAGAAGATCCAGATCCTTCATTAGTATGTTTTGATTCTTCGTCTGAACCTCAAACTAACAGATCAGTCCGTTTGAACTTCCTCACGGCACACCATCCCATTGGGCATGCTTCTTCCGCAATATGACAGCCATGGATGCTCTCATCTCGCTCGGTGCCAACGTCAATGCAGTATACCATGGCCAAGATTCATCAACAACTCCACTTGCGTTAGCAGCATACTTTGGAGAGACAACTATAGCCAAATATCTGACATCCCACAGCGCGGATGGTACTCTGTTCGACTCGATGAAACGAAACACCTTGCACGGTATCACCAAATACTTCCCCGATCGACATGGCTACCTACCTCATCATTGGCATTATTGGATTCGCCACGGGACTTGGGAGAACCATCTGTCACAAATGATAGATTTAGTCAAAGTCTTGGTCGATGCTGGAGCAGACCTAAATGCCAAAGACAAGGGATATCCTTCTCTGACACCCATCGCAGCAGCCGCCGATCCAGGAGTCTGGGATGGCGGTATGATATGTGCATTGCTAGACTCAGGAGCTGATCTAAGTGAATCGATCCTGTCAGCTGGGAATACAGTTTTACATTCATGGGTGTCCATCATCGGACCGCGTCTGGACTATCCAAATTCGTACATCCCGACTCTACAGAAAATAGTCAACGCCATGCCAAATATCGACATTATCAACCGCTTCGAAGAAGAAACTCCACTCCATCTATTGTCGACAATTTACCACCCGGAAGATGAATTCGAAACCGCATGCAATGTCCTCCTCGATCACTCTCTTCCAGCAAATATAAACGCAAAAACACGCCGAGGCGAAACCCCCTTGTCAATAGCCCTAGAAACAAACCTCAATCCCATCCGGCGAGGCCGCTTCCTCCTGGAAAAGGGCGCCGACCCCCTCATACCCAAAGACCAAGGACGAGACATCTTCTATTCAATCGCCAACAACGTCGTCCTAACCGACCAAGACAGCCACGACCTAATCCAACGATTCCTTCTCCACCTCAACCCAGACATCCAACAAGCCTATAAAACGCACTACCTCCTCAACCCAAACAGCAACGCAACCCTCTTCGCAGCCGCATCCCGCGGCAAACCACAAACAACATCCCTCCTCCTCACCCTCGGCCTCATAAAATCCATCAATAATCCCTCCAACCCTAGATCCAACTCCACCTCCAAATCCGAACGCTGGACGCCCCTCGACCAAGCCCTCCACTCGGCAGAAATAACTCGTCGCGCACACATGCGCAGACTGGCATCATACAAAGCCGGCATAGCACGTACCAAAGCCCTCGAGGCGGATCTGGTCTATGATGAGAATCAAGGTCCGCCGTCGCGTGCGGCAGAAGCATATAGGCTTTTCCCGGATGTTATACGTATCCTGCGAGACGCGGGAGCTAAGAGGATGTGTGAATTGGAGGGGACTTCGAAGGGGGATTATATTGAGCAACCTGGGGAGTGGGATAAGAGGGATATTTTGGAGTATGGGTTTACCGCTGAGACGCAGCCTGATCGGGAGGGGTGGGGGTGTTTGTATGAGTTGGCTAGGTATGGAGATGGGAATGGGGGAAGGAGTTGGTTGGGATTGATTACGGGTGGGAGGATGGGTTGAGTCTTGAGTATGGGGGTTTTTGGATAGATTCTACATTGTTGTATGTATGTTCATCTGTTCATATGTGTAGTCAGGTAATATGCTGCTTGTGTTGATTGTATATGATCTATATATAAGTTCCTAGCTATAGGAAATGGTATAGTGTAGAATCAACAAGACTGACCTGTACGTTGGTCACCGTTTCAGTGCTCATAACTTCGTACCAGTCTTACTCGGCGCTGGCTCAGAAGCCGGAGCCATAGGACCAGTATCAAAAGACTCCTCACCATTGAAATGCCTGTCAAATAGATTATTAGTATCAAAATCAAGACAAAGCAAACAAAAGAACCAGGATAAAACTCACCATCCACGTTCAGCACCCGTACTCAAAAAGCTACAATCCCCGTTCGAAACACAATCCCACCCTCCCCCAACACCATTTCCATTCTTCCAACATGGAACAGCCCCCGAGGCACGAACAAACTTCGTGCCTTCAGCAAGAGGACTTTCACCCTCACCCTCTGGTCGTAATCGTCTACCCTCAGCAACAGCAGTCGAAGTCCCCCGCCTCTTAAACGTACTCAAGCCAGCAGTGAATACATTAAAATCCTCTTCAGAACTGTCATCAGGCATATGACCCGTCAACGCACGACCCATGGCAATAAGTGGGGCTGCATGCGCGCAGATCAAGACGGACTTGCTGGTCCGCTGGTCTGGGGGTAAATGTGCCTCCACAGCTGTGATGTCAGCGTCGATGTCGGTGATTATACCCTGCAGGACTGTCGCGACGCGGTTGTGGAGTTGGCCGATTGTCTCGCCGCGTCTGGAGGGGATTAGGAGTGGTGTGTAGTTTTGGAGACTTGTTTCTGGGATGAGGGTTGGAAAGTGGAGGCTCATTTCTTTGGGAGTTGGGTGGGAGGGGTGGTCGAAGAAGTTTGTTGCGCCGAACCATTCTCTGGTTGTTGGTTAGTTTATATTGCTTGGGTAGATGTGTTGTTTATAGAAGGAGAGTAGAAGGAGAAGCCGTGGTATAGAGGATATATACTCACCCCAATCCATTCTCAATCCTAACATCCAAATCCGCATGCCGGTCAATCAAACCGGGGGCATTCTGCTGGCCATGTCTAGACTCGGCGGATATCCTCTTCAGTTCTTCGACGGAGGGCTGGATCGTCTGCAGACAGCGGTAGAAGGGACTCGAATAGACACGGAATGGTTTGGGGTGAAATTGAGGAGCAGCAATATGTTCTGCCAGCTCGTGCGACTGCCGAACGCCATGTGAGGTCAGCGCTGGGTCTGCTGGGTTTCCTGTCGGCGTAGGGAATTGGGCTTTGTAGGTGCCGGTGCGGAAGTCGATGGTCCAGTTGAGGCGGTGCTGCAGGGGTTAGTTTGAGGACTATATAGTGATGAATTGGACAGTACATACACCATGACGGGTCAGGTAGATCGTATCCAAAGGCATTTTGACCGAGTTCTTGAACGATCAACTATTGACAACAATCTTGCGGGGGTAGGGCAGAATACATCAACCGACCAAGGCGGTGAATTCCTACCTCGGCCCAGATATTTACTCTCTACAAAGGATCGAAGGCAGACCGGAATCACGTAGCATTGGAAATACGAGCGCACCATGTACTCTGCAAACTAATAAACAGCTGAATGGGGGTATAATATCCACAGCTACCAGATTACATTCCCAAGATCCCAGTAAAACCACGCCATGCAAAACCAGTCAAAGCAAGAACTTTTTCAATTCTTTTTTTAAGACTCCATCTAGTAGAAGAAGCCGAGGAGCTTGCCAGCAACGTGCTTGCGGCGGGCCTCCTCGTGGTCCATGATACCAGCGGAGGTGGTCAGGACGACGTAGCCGAACTGACGGGAGGGAAGGAGCTGGGTAGCCCACTTCTCGAGGTCACGGAGCTGGACGGGGTAGCGGGGGTTGATGACACCACACTTGTTGAGGCTGGAGGAGGTAGTTAGCATTCACGTTTGTTGACGGTTGATGATGAGATGATGTACGTACCGGCCGTTCAGCTGGATGACGATCTTGCCGGAGCGGTGGTCATCGACCTCCTCGAACTCGCCAATGTAGCCTGAAAAGAAAAGATGTCAGTATGTTGCGAAGATTTAAAAGTCGTCAAATACTGAAAAAAAAGCCATAACAGCGCTTTGAAAACGTGTAAGATCTTCGACAGATCAATATACCGGCTACTTAAAAGGCAGACGTCGTAGGTTGTTGAGACCGGCCGCCTAGTTATCAAGCCGGATGACATGAAATCCTCCAGTGGCACAAAAGAAAAGACATGACATGAAAAGAAAGCAAAAGACGAAAGAGGAAAGAGAAAGACGACAAAAATTTAATGTAAACGTACCGTGCTTCTGCATGACAGCAAGGAACTTGACGATGACCTTGGAGGAAGGACGGATGAGGACCTGGCGCTTGCCAGCCTTCTCGGCGTTGTTCATGGCGTTGAGCGCATCGTTGAGGACGGAAGTCTTGACCATTGTGGCGGTGTAGGAATCGAGATTCTCAAATCGAAAAAATTAAAGAAAGATTATGAGGTATCTGTTCGATGAAAACGCAACAGAAAACCCCACCCGTAGGCGAGTTTTCATATTGCAAACTAAGTCAGCCACCAGTAGTCCTCGAGCGCAAAGAGTGCCCCTTATGCATTGCAAGGAGTTCTTCAGCCCGTGCCGATTTGGGAGATGCGTATCATCTTTCCTGGTCTACCACTGGAACCATCTGTAATTCTCAAGAAAGCAGATCCAGAAGCAATGATTGCAACTTCCAGACTAGCTGAGAGGCTGTTGTTGGGGGGGTTGGTACATACCTCGAAAGACTGTCCGTTGGGTGATGAGGAGAGTGAAGAAATCGTCGAACTTTGGTTTTCGGGTCGTGCGCCTGTAGGGTTAGTCGCGCGATAGCCCTTATCTTTGGCTTGTCACGTGGTGATAACTTGAGACTTCTGCCTCAGGCTTCAACATACCTCTTAGGTCTACAAGTCTAAACTTCATTTCAACATACTGTGCTCCACCACTTGACTATGACTGAGGTTCAATTTGGAAAGTATACATGATACAAGCCCGTTGAGACTCCGTCAATTCCAGTAAAATATTACACGAGACACAGAACTGCGACAACCATACAAAACAACTACTTCTACTACTAATTCATTAGCACAACCATTAACTTAAGCCATCCATGGGTAAATCCACAGACGGATTATTCTATACATAATTTTCCAGCATGGGAGCATGGGTTGGAGAGAGGCTGGAGAGTATACGAGGAAGGAAGAGAGGTACTCGGGGACAGCTTTTTCATGACGATGACTCGTTTCTGGAGGGGTGACATGATTGGGAGGGGATACATGATTGCGGGGGGCAGGAATTGGGGAATTGGTGAGGGAAGTACATGAATCTTGGGCTACATGATTCGCAATGCTATAAGATGCGACGGGGTGGGGTCTTGTCTAATTAAAAACAAAGTAGAAAGAGGACGGGGAGGGTGAAAAGGGTTGTATCAAGAAGAGAAATTGGACAGGGCCTAGGGCAAATGGGGGAAGGGGAAATTGGCTTTCATTCGCACGTGTGTCATCAGGGGAGTAGCACCAGCAAAGGGTCAGGGGAAACAGAGTTCAGGACCAAGGGGTGTGGATAAGAAGATATCCTGTGCTGGGAAGGGGGAGGGGGAATTCTGGGAGTGAGATAGCGAACAGCTCACGTATGCCAGCGTCGAGCGTGCAGGCAACTTCTCCGCGGACACCGACACCGAGAGGCGGGGCCTCAGGATGCCGTAGTACCGCGTCAAAGGACCTGTCACTTTTCAACAACACTTCCGAGCCGAGTGGCATGGTGGCATGGTCAGCCAGGAGGTGAAGCTGTGCTAAACGCCTTGATCAATATGCTGAGGTGCATTGAGAAGCTTAAGCCATGCCAGTGCTCATGTTGATCTGGCGCTTGACCTGCTCGCGAGCCCAGCGGGCGGTCTCGATGGTCCGCTCACTGTAAGCTCTAGTTGTGCGAGTCTCGCGCACGAGGGCAGTGACCCAGTCGTTGCGGAAGTAAGCAGCGAGCTCACCGTTAGGGAAGGCATCGGCAAGATCACCAATGACACCCATAGCAGAGCGCATCAGACCCTCACTGCGGTTGCTCTCTGTGGAGATGATGTGAAGGAGCTGGAAGATGGACTCGATGAAAGGCTGCAGCTGAGTGATGGAAGGAGTGCCCTTGTAGGAAAGAAGGATACCACCCCAAGCATCCATGATACCCTCACGGAGGGAGACAATGTAGTCCACCATATCGTAGGGGAGGTCAGAGCTGGTGGTGACGCTGGAAGCCTGCTGGAGAACCTGGCCAACGACAGCCAAGTAGGTGTCGAAGTTGGTTCCAATAGCCTGAGCGATATCACCGAAGGTCTCAAGGATAGCAGGCTTCAGTTGGTTGGTCGTAGTCTGGAGGGTCTTGAGCAGAAGGTTCATGAAGGAGTCGCAGTAAGGCAGGACCTTCTCGTTCAAGGCACGAACGATGTCACTAACCAGGCCAATGGCCATGGCGCAGAGACCGGGCTCGTCTTGGTTGCCGAGGGCATTGTACAGGAAGGGGCTGAAAGAGTCCATGTACTTGATAAAGTCATCCTCAAGGGCGCTGGCAATAGCACCAACGGTAGCAAAGACAACATCCGGCACGCTTGACTTGGGACCAAGGGTCTGGAGAACCTGGAGCAAAATGCTCATGATACGGTCGGCCTGGGGCTTGATCTCAACCTCAAAGCGCTGGACGATGGCCAGAATAACACTGATCAAACTAGTCTGCATCTCCTCAAGAAGAATGCGGTCCTCGGTGCTGACAACCTGCTGCTGCATGGGGATAGTGTGCTCAAGACGCTGGATGATAACATCTGAGAGAGTGGCAACCATAGGCAGGCTGTCATTTGCGGAGTTGAGAACAAAGGAGTTGAGAACCTCGTATCCAGCGGTACGGAGCTGGTTGTCAGCATCCTGGCGCTCGGTGACTGTGAGTAGGGACTTCACACTGTCCTCAAAGTGCTTCGACAGAGGGTTAGTCTGCGAGCCAGCGTCACCGGCAAAGCGGTCTGCGACGTTCATAAGAGCCCAGCAGCAAGAGCTGGCAATCTTAGGGGAGTTGGCAAGGCCGTTGAAAAGGCAAGAGATAAGGGGCTGGAGGTGAACCTCGGGGTCCAGGACCTCGGGGCAGCAGTCGCACACACGACCCAGGGCGTAAGCAGTGGAGTCGCGGACGGAAATGGAGTCATCCTGCATCATGCCAAGCAGGACAGAGAGAGCCTGCTTAATCAGAGGCTCCAAAACACTGGGCTCAGGGCCCTCCATGATGGCACCGAAAGCAGCGACGGCGGCGTCACGGCGGCGCCAATCCTCGTTGCGGATGTTCTCCTCGACAAAAGTCACGACGGGCTGAATGACATCGCCCTGGACACATTGGGCGTAGAGCTGGAGAGCCTGGTAGGCGGCACGAGACACGTTGTACTCGTCGTCACCAGCGTCCTCGTCCTGTCGGCACATAGCTTGCAGAAGAACGGGAACAACCTCGCGGGTGGCCACGCGAGCAAAGCCGAAGAAAGGACGAGCCTCAATACCCTCTTGCTGGGCCTACAAAAAGGTCAATATTCTATCAATTGCACTCATCCTTTTATCAGAAAACACATACCTCAGCGTTGTCGTCCTCGATGGCAATCTCCTCCTCGCAGACAGTGCACCAGAACTCAATAGCAAGCTTGGAGACTTCCTCCTCCTCGCTCTTCATGCCCATGATGCTCAGGCCGAACAGAGCTTTCTCCATGTAGAAGCGCATCTTCTCGTAGTAGGAACCCATGATACGGTTCAAGCAGCCAAAGGCACCAGCCTGGACACGAACCTCATCCGCCTGGGTGGCCTCGCACACAACCTGCATAATGTAGTTGCGCTCTCCCTCGTTGTCCATGTTGGTCCGCACAAAGTCCACAGCATCACTGAGGGCAGCAATAGCGGCATAACGGACATCCATGTTTGGCTCCTCGCGCCGGGCACCCTGAACAACGGCAGTGAGGATGGCATTAGAGTGTGCTGTGAGGCTCGCGCGGAGATCGGGATCTTGAGACTCGCAAATGTAACCGATGGCAGTCAAAGAAGACTGCTTGAGGGCGTCGTTTCCGCTCGCCACGTTCTGGACGAGGATGTTCATCAGCTCCGTCCACTCATTCCGGGGCAACTCGATGGCGGCAATCGAGACGATAAGTGTGGCGGCGGCATTTCCGGCGCGGGCGTCTGGTGAATGAAGAGTCTTGAGCGCGAGCTCCTTAACCTGTGTCTTGGTTTCGGGGTTAATCTGCTGGACCCAGCGGAGCTGCACCTCGCGCAGCTTGGCCTGGTCCCGGAAAGTGAAGGCGTTCTTCAGGGCAATACCGGCAGCGACACGAATGTGAGCTGGGCTGCTCTCGTTGGCCAGCTCCTGACCGAGG